CCTTCTGAGTTTCAAATAAGATCATTGATCTGGAAGTAACGCCAGTAACATTTTGCTTCGAAGAGGAATATTAGTACAAGGCGGCTGCGTGAGGAGGTGCGACGACGCTTCGGACATCTGGACATCGATCTGGAATTTTACATTTTGAGCTTATTTGACCTGAAGCTATGACCAAAGGACCTCAGAATTACACACGCACACGCACACGCACATTTGCATTCACACGCACACCTGCACACACGCACGCGCACGCACTCACACCCGCACGTACACGCGCGCGCGCTTAACCAGCATCTGGGCGCATGCGCTTAAAACTTTGTGTTCGTCCTCGTTGTCGGAGCCCACGTTTAGCATGTCCAGCCTCACAAGTATTGCGGTGCAGCGTCTCAACACGCCGAATCCCGCTTAGCGGATTGCCTCACGTCAGCCAGCGCAGCGGCCGGTCCGCTGAGAGGTATGCTCTCTTGTGGTTCCTCATTTATGTCAATTATGAAAGACACGACCAAAGACACCCTCATGTGGCTTGAGGTGGCGTCGGAGCGACAGTGCTAACAGCTGTCAGGGGTATCCGGACACTCTGAACACTGCTACGTTTTCCATTTCTCCATTGTGACATTTGAGCGTTGTCGTAAATCTCCTGTATAGGAGTTTTTTGTGCGGTCATGAGAGAATCAAGTGGATGCGTTTTCAAGGGTAAAAATTATCCTCCAAAAACTCCGAGGAAGCGATTGTACAGCCCCCTTTGCATAGTTGACACCGATTAAGGGGTAAGAACTGGCGAAAGGCTCCTTAAGTATGTTGTTTCTGGAGTCATCGTGACACCTTTTAGAGGGTTGACTGCATGTAAAACTTCCTGGGGAGTTTTCTGTTATGACAGCTGTCCGCTGTCGTTGCGCCAGGGGTGCATGCGGAAAAGCCATAGCGATAGCGATATCTCAGCCAAGTCGCATGTCGCCGGTTCCAGAAGCAGCGTAGGAGCCAGAAACTGGGAGCAAATGATAGCAAAGATATATAGATGATGTTCAGATGTAACACGGTGTGTAATATATCTACATTTTATCTCACCCCCATATAGGGTGATCATATAAACAAAAAAACGGCTTAGTTCTGATGTAAACTAATCTGAACAAAACAAATGGGACAGCAGTGCATCAGCTGGGAATCTGGCTTATCGCACCGACAGCGAAGCAATGGGCTGCCGTCATGCTATTTGATGCGTGAGTCCTGAGCGTCTTATGAAAGCGATGGTCCAACATCTAAGAGTCGACACACGGCACATATGGAACATTGGCACTAATGGAGGTCACACAGCTGAGAAAGGTAGTCGGTGTCAGGGACAGCAAAACTGAGTATTCGCGATCTACGGATGTGATAATCACGAAATAAAAGGACTGTGAAGTCACAGTTCAGAACAGAGGTGAGAGCCATGAGCACTGGCTCTCACCTCCTCACTTGGTATCCGTGAGCACAAGACGCAAAATCATGGAATAGAAAGAAGAGAAAGCTACTGAGTTTGAGAGCAGAATAAGGAGTGTGGAGCTGAAAAACCGAGGAGCTGCAAAGGATTGAAACGGAAGTACAAGTACAGAAACACCATTTGCAGAACTTGTAACGGGATTCGATTGCATGCACAATTTCCGTGTCATAAATGAAATTATCCCTTGGAAGTCCACTGAAATCGAATCGAAATCATGCATCGGGAGTGGATTTGAAATGCATTCGATGTCTCTGGGTTTTTCGACTCAGAAAATGCACTTGTTTGAGAAATTAGGATTACGAACTACTTCACATGCCATGCAAATGAGAAATCGCAATTTTGTGATAAATTGATATTTTTTGACATGAACTCTTTTAGGTCTTCTACGGCGTACCATGATATTATAAGTCGCTGTGGTACACAAGTCAACTACAGTGAGACATCGACGTTGGTTAACTGCGGACATGCGGACATACTGGAAAAATGTTTGGTCGCCTCCCGAACCAAAATGTAGCGCAGCGTGGCATGTGTTTGTTTTCGGGGTGGAGGGGGGGGGGGGACGATTAAGGTTTTACCGACCAGCTTGTCTTGCGCATTGTATTTTGAGTTATGATGATTAGACGTTGGTCCGTTTATGGTGACTTGCTTCCATTCTTTTTTGCATGCTTACAAAATCAGCGTGAATTTTCTTCTGGAGCCTGAAACAAATGGAATAATTGTGGAACATGGCCACGTGAAGCGATTTGCTAATCGTTGTCAGTGCAGAGCTATGGATTAAAATCAATATGGCTGTCTAAAACAGCTTATTCGCTACCGCAACAGGTCATTTCCTAATTTCGATGGGCTGGATGTCTCTTGAACAGTGGCGGAGGGGTGACGACCGCCCCACTGTAGCAATTTTAAGGTGGGGGGGGGGGGGGAAGGGTGCCGATCACTCCCCGATATGGAAATGGTGTGAGCTCATCATCGTGACCTGGCACGGTTACGTATCCGGAGGCTGCCTGCATATTGAGATCAGATTTCGCGTGGGGCATGCCCCCCGATACAGGACGCCAGCATAACAGACCGGTGCGCACCGACGGCAGCCCTCTCCGTGTCCGGTGCTGTCAAACCGGCTGACTATCAGTGACGTCAGAGCTCGCCCTCGGCGTCCCATCGCATCGGGCAGGGCGGCCTGGTGGCGCCGGCTGGGCGCCTGGGCAGGGGGTCACACTGGCCACAAAGTTGCCGAGGGATCAAACTGCCCACGCTGGTACCCACATAGGTCAGAATGGATTCTCAGAAAAACCGGTCAGCTGTTGTTGGGGTTGACATTAGCTGGATCTGGCCGGGTCTGCTATGTGAGTGATTATTTGTGGACTCCCAATGTGGCAGTAGCCATCGTGCATGTTTCAGATATATGTTTCTTTCTATATTTGCAGCTGCACACCTAAATTAATTGACAGACTGGTTACCCTACACCATGCTGACAGTTTCGTGGCATGACTTCCGGCTGGCAAACGTCCCGCAATGGCTCAGCTGTGCTGTGCTGGGCAGTTGCTGTACGGTGCAGTGTTGTCGCAAAACAGCATTGACATGTGGCCCAGCTGCACAAGCCCATGGCACAAATCAGCTGATTTTCACGAGTGGCAACCGTACTTGCGCGCAGTGTAAACTCGGCATAAGTACCGCCCGTCGGCGGCTCCGGAGTGCCGCACAGCTGTGTGGCGCGCGCCACTGCGGCAATTATCGAGTAAGCAGCGCACTTGTGGCGCACGCCGCCAGGTGGCACGCCAGCTGTGGCGCACGCCGCGCCGTCCAGCGCGGGGCGGGCGTCACGCACAGCCGCCGCCAGCACCTCGGCCCAGTTCAGAGGCGGCTTGTGTATCGATTGGCGCCCAGTCTAACGCCCAGCGGGGCAGCTCCGGCCTCCCCGCCATACAGATCTGTCGGTCTTTTGCCAGACGATCTGGGAGCTCCCTTTCGACAGGCGATGCCACCGTTTGGCTCTGGATGCCTGTGCGTGACGTAACGCTCGCAGGGTCTTTACGTTCTCACTGGGCTCGGCAAATGATGAACCTAGTTTCAAATGTGGAACAGTTTTAAAAGTTTGCTAGGGACATATTTATAAGGACATACCACGTGAACTGCAAAGGTGTCGTAATAGCAAGGATGGACATGCGACGCCCACAAAATGAAGCAAGGATGTTCCAGCACGTGGGAGGGAGACTGTTCCACCCCCACCCTACCTACACCCTTCCGCACAAAATACTGTCCCACCCCAACACTACCCCACCCCCTCCCTGCCGTTCAAACCCCAAGTCTGATGCTTAAACTGGGGGTTTGCCTTAGACCTACAATGGTGCCTGCAAAGTCAAGAACCGAGCACGAGCCTGTGCCAACACCCGTGGCTCATGCTTGTTCCCACACCCGTGGCTCATGCTTGTTCCCACACCGAAGAGAAAGGACTTAAAGATCAAACCAAAGAACAGCGCGCATGGTGTTAAGCTAATAAATTGTGTTATGAATGTTTTGTATTTGTCATCAAAATGGCAATTATCAGTCTGCTTTAAATGTGTGCCATAGCAGACGTTAATGACTGATCAGACGACGTCCAGACAACCAAGCGGCGGGGAATCCAAATGTGCCTGAATCACGAGCTTAAGATCTTGCATTGCCCGATAAGTGCATTTGCTATGTTCCCATCCACCCACAACTGGTATGATATTGACTTGTTGGTGTCCTGGCACTACGAATTGAATACATTTAGCATTTTATGCTTTTAAGTGTCATAAGAATATCAGTTGCATAGCACACTTTCACCCTGGGTCATGAATTACATTTTTATAGCCCCTCGTGCAATAACTCGGCCCGTAGCAAAGAGTCGTGCAATGTTTTAGTCAGGGGTTTGTCCTGTCCGATAGATACTTGTCCGATTCTCTTTCTCCGATAGATAACCATGTTTCCTCACCTTTAATAGAGTATTTGTACTTTATGTTGCAATACTAGTGAAATATTTACGTTCGGAATATTGATATCGAAAGCTGAGTGCAGCGTAATACACCCTTCATTCCACACAAGCTATACGAATGGCCTTTGTGATAATTCGCCTTCCATTCAGATGTGAGTCATTTTTATAGATAATCGTGCTCCGATTTCCTATTGACTGGAACATCGCCACCAGATAGCAATTTGTTCGTTCGTTGAGTTATGAGTTATTTAATTTTCTTCCTTTTGTTCTGGCTATGTTCTTCCCCCCCCTCTCTCTCTCTCTCTCTCTCTCTCTCTCTCTCTCTCTCTCTCTCTCTCTCTCTCTCTCTCTCTCTCTCTCTCTCTCTCTCTCTCTCTCTCTCTCTCTCTCTCTCTCTCTCTCTCTCTCTCTCTCTCTCTCTCTCTCTCTCTCTCTCTCTCTCTTTCCCTGTGGTTATCCCCACATGCTGCTTCTTTCTTCCACTGTTACTGTCCAGCGTTGCCTTCTTCCGCCTTCTCTCTTCTACCGTCCAGCGTTGCGTTCCGGCGTTGACCCCACAACTTCTGTGTCCGCAGGCTAGCAGCGGCTCAAGAAGCGCGTGCGCGGGAGGCAGCCGCTAGCGGCGCTGACCCGCTGGGCCGGCGACCGTACACCTACGCCGCGATGGGCAAGAAGAGCGGCGCCCCGTCACAGGACGGCAAGGGGCCCTCATCGCTCTTCCTCTTCAGCGAGACCAACCCCATCAGAAGATACACGAAGTTCATCATTGAGTGGCCATATCCTTTTCGTGCGGCAGTTTACGGCGTCTGTGGAAAGCAGGCCGATTGTCAACCTATAGCGACGTCTGCATCATATGCATTGACGCAAGGCAAAGTTGATAGCAAATCCATTATGTGGCCTACTTTTTGAAGCAGCAGATTAAAAAACCTGAATGATGCTCTTTTTTAAATTGGGCAGTTCTACAAATAACTGCAGCGGTGAATTGATAAACACGCATTCGGACACGTACACACATGCTGATTACTGTTGGTAGCGTACTCCGACTGACTTTTCACTCTTTCAAAGTCACATGCATGTTTCCTTTCCCATCACCTTCTGTAGAATGCCGTGTGTAACATGGAACCAGAGAGGTACTTACAAATGTAGATGCCTTATCATGTAGATTACAGCAAAACCTAAATGCAACGACACAAATACCTTCAGGAACTAATACCAATGGGGTTCATCCATGCATTGGAAGGTCCTGAGTCAAGCGGTTTACTGGGAAAATTCACCAGCTAATTCGTAAAAAACATGACTTGAAAACAGGCCGCCAGCGAACCATGCCATACCTAGAAAGGTGACCAAGTGAAATAAATGAATTTGGATTACATCTTGGTTGATTCGCGCTTTGTTGACGGTTGATAAAGTTTTGGTAAAACAACAGAAATAACGGCACTAGGTGTTGGTTAATTTGCATACGTTTCGGGCTCGCATAGTTTTACGACTTCATGTGTGCTGTTTGGCCCAAAATTAAGTGTGCATTCAGAATCAGTTTTGAAAAGGCGACTTTGTCGTATTCCCGTCTGAGTGGTGGCATCTGTGCGAATGGGGGAGTGCCGCTAGCACTGGCTGCTCTGTAGACGGTATCTTCGGCTACACCTGGCAGCTGGCCTCTCCCGTGTTTTTTACCTGCTCTACTATAGATACCTGGTATCGCTTGTGGATGTTAAGGCAAGGCGGTGTGTGGTGTTCGTTCGAGCGCCAGTGACCAGCTGCGCGCATCCAGCCGTGCTGCTCTCAGCGCGCTGACCCGTTATTTGCTCCGTCAGTGTTAGGCTTGTGCCGCTGCGGAGCGAGGTCGCTGATGCTTGTGCCGCTGCGGTACGAGGTCGCTGGTGCTTGTGCCGCTGCTGTACGAGGTCGCTGATGCTTGTGCCGCTGCGGTACGAGGTCGCTGATGCTTGTGCCGCTGCGGTACGAGGTCGCTGATGCTTGTGCCGCTGCGGTACGAGGTCGCTGATGCTTGTACCGCTGCGGTACGAGGTCGCTGATACTTGTGCCGCTGCAGTACGAGGTCGCTGATGCTTGTGCCGCTGCGGTACGAGGCTGCTGATGCTTGTGCCGCTGCGGTACGAGGTCGCTAATGCTTGTGCCGCTGCGGTACGAGGTCGCTGATGCTTGTGCCGCTGCGGTTCGAGGTCACTGATGCTTGAACTCACTTTGAGTCCGTGCCGCGCAAATATTTCGCAGTTAATTAAGTTACTTTTTCATTCTGTTGAATGTGAAACATTGTTTTTAAACTTAAAACTTTTTGGCAAATCGCGCCTGTACTAAACACAAGTATCAGAGTTGCGTTTCTAACCGTTCAAAATTCCACAAGACTGTGGGAGTGGCTGAGAAGATGCCAGCACCTAAGAGGCGTGATAGCCGGAATACTCGGCTTCAAAATGTCGATCGTTCAAATAAGACACACACTAGCATGCGGACATACTTTTAATCGGATCGTCTTTCCGTCAGAGCCATGTCAAAAATCGAGATCACCGTTCGCTGTCACATCAATCTCATGTCACATCTTGCTTGTCTTCATTCCTGAGTCAAGCCAGCTCACATTAACGAATCCCTGCAGAGGTCGCTGAACCTTCGGCATGTTTGGGTTTAACTTGTATTGGATCTTTATTCTCTCAGCGGTCGTGGCTCTCTTAAGTTGCACATGCAGAGGGGTATCACTATATACCTTCGGGGGGGGGGGGGGGGCGGGGCGCTGAGGCCGCTGATCGTGAGTTAAGCTTCCACCCAATGTTCCTCAGAGCCCCTCCCCCTCCCCCTCTAATGCATATGGACAAAGAGAAAATACTGGGCCAAATAAATACAGAACAATAATAACACATCTTGGTAATTGGTGTACTAAGTAGTAGGTACCTGAACAGATTGCTATTACTATCGTGTAAATTTTGGACTTATTAGCATCCCGTAGGTGCCTCGTGTTTTTTGCCACGTTAACTCCTTCAGTGTGTTAATCATTCTGCAAATGTTTGGCAAGCTTTGATAACGCCTGGATTGGGATAAAGAGCAACTTGGCAGCTTTTAAAAGTACGGGGTGGCTATGATCAAAGTGAGCATGTTTTCCTTAAGAGTGGCAAGTGTATTTCGCAAAATCCCTCCTGTGGCGGTTATGCAGCACAATCAGCGACAGCGGTAGTCACCAGTGATCCCCTCACTCAGATTTCATGAAGCGTTTTTTTGTGTGAATTGCACCCCCATTCCATGCTTTTCACAAAAAAGGCACTTCACATGAATTTGAAATGGAAAGTCATTCCTCACAGGAAATTGGTTATGAATCTACGAAATATGAGAAAGTTTCGTTGTAGCTTTAGCATCGTGGACGCAAATCCAAGTTGCCAAAATCCGGAGAGAAGCTAGTTTTGAGCCAGCTTTAGGTTGAAAGCCGCACCCCTACCAGATGGATTCTCTATAAAATTGTAAAGGCTAAATGTATGAGTACATCTGAATTCCTCCTCAGGATTTGTATGAAGACACTTATTTTGCATGTGTTCAGTTCCGGACATTTTGTCTCAAAGAGTAGTAAGCCCAACTATCCGTTTCTTGCGAAACACATCGACTCCTTCGCAGTTGGTCGTCAATCGTGTCTTTATTCATTTTTGCGGGGATTTCCCTCGGTCATCCAGCCAGCGCCATCTCCGCCGCTTCCTTGACGTGCTTGCTCGCCTCATGTCCGAAGCACTGATAACAGTTCTTAGTTTTTGTTCTCAGGCTTCCTTTCCACTTATGTCTTTTCAACTTAGGTTTATTTTCGCTACCACCATCCATTGTTCCGTACAGTAAGCACCATTATCTCATTTAGTCCTCTCATTCTTGTCAGTCTTCGCCACGTTGTTCGCATTCTTCTTATCTGGTCTCTCCCACTCGTTTGGCTCACCGTGGCAAAACTGGTATCAGGAGAGTTGATGATGGTGATTTGAGTCGTAGGGCGCGCCGACGTCGGAGGTCATTTTGCGTCCAAGCGGGAGAGTTGGCAGCAGTGCACAGGTGGAGAGTTTGCTACAGTGCACTGCTACCGTTACCAATTTTCCTGCTGCGTTCTTCCATTCGTCTCATGCCTCCAAACCATCACTCTTCAGTGGTCTCGCTTATCTCATTCATTGTTTTGCGACTGTCCCAGTCATCATATTCATCGTTCTCCAGCCGGTACAGCCTTCCCATCCAACGTCCTACAGATGTTCTTAATCCTCCGGTCTCCCCACCCCATCCACACCCAGTCCGCTATCTATGTTTTCCATCTGTCCCAGTCCTCCCAGTCATTACTCTGCAGCTGTCCTCAGTCCTCCCAGTCATTACTCTGCAGCTGTCCTCAATCCTCCCAGTCATTACTCTGCAGCTGTCCCCAATCCTCCCAGTCATTACTCTGCAGCTGTCCTCCGTCCTCCCAGTCATTACTCTGCAGCTGTCCTCAGTCCTCCCAGTCATTACTCTGCAGCTGTCCTCAGTCCTCCCAGTCATTACTCTGCAGCTGTCCTCAATCCTCCCAGCCGTCGCCCCCATCCTGTCAGTCTTCCCACTATTGCCGTGCGGCCGCTCCCAGCGGCCGGTCACCAGCATCGAGTCGCTCCCCGCTACCGGCCGGTCGTCTTCACCGCAGCGACCAGGCTTGGTGCCGGTGGATGGAGCCAGGTCGGCGCCTCCCACCGGTAACAAAGGCGCCGGCGGCGGTCGAGCCGAGGACGAGAGCTGCCGGGCAGAGGTCGAGAGCAGCCGGACAGAGGCTGGGAGCGGCGGGCCACTGTCGGCTGCGGTCTTGATCGATCTTCGCCGCCCTCTCTCCGCGCCGCCGCGCTGGCGCTCTCTCGCGCGCCGTCTTCGGCCGCGCCGGCGGGCCGATGTGCTCACGTGAGGGGTGTGGCCGGCGCCCACCAGGTCACGCCAGAGAGACGCGCGAGGACGCTTCACTCACGCACGCTTGGGGAGACGGATGGCGGCGGGAACACGGCCGGTGTGGTGCGCTGCGATCAATTCTTTAAAAAAGATAATAACTGCACCCAAAGCCCCTCTCTCTCTCTCTCTCTCTCTCTCTCTCTCTCTCTCTCTCTCTCTCTCTCTCTCTCTCTCTCTCTCTCTCTCTCTCTCTCTCTCTCTCTCTCTCTCTCTCTCTCTCTCTCTCTCTCTCTCTCTCTCTCTCTCTCTCTCTCGCTCTCCCTCTCTTCTCCCTGCCACCGCTGTGGTGGATCCGTGTTCATCTCACATTGCGTATTTTCCGCGCTGTCAAGATTGCTGTCCTTCCGTTTTCTGCCCGCTCAAAACTCCGCCCGTGACGTCATTCCGGTGCCGCTAACTGACGTCATCGCCAGTCAACTGGCTTTCGGAATGTCGATGGTATCTCGGGCTGCGTCTGCGTCCGCGGCATGCCTGTTGGTATCGCGTCGGGCCAGATGGGTGCGCCACCACTAGGGGTGCATCGGTGTACCATGGCCAAGTCGCTGCAGACGCCTCTGGTGTCGCACCGCCCCGGACCACCCTACGACTTAAACCAGCAACTGGAGGGCCCAAATGAATGGTGTTGGCCGACTGCTTCCTCTGTGTAGGTCAGGCCATATTTTGCTCTGGTTGATCCCAACGGAACATTAAGGAAAACATGCTCTGCCTTCATGAGCAGGGTTGGTTGGATGAGTTTCCTTTCCTACTGCATGGTTACTGTGCAATACTTGTCACAAGGCTCATGAGTTAGAAACGGACGGAATTGTGTGTAATGCCCGTACCGGCATCTCCGGATCCCAAAGCTGCTTTTTTAAACGTATTGTGAACGTCCCCATATTGATGCGTGTTACACACGCGGAACAAGTACACCATGGCGTATGAGGCGGGCACAGGTTGATCTCTTTATATGATGTAATTTTTGCATAAAACGAATCCAGTACGTGGATTGATTGTTCAAGATTAATGGTTCGTAGACTTGTGGCTACATGCCAACACCCCTCGTACGCATTAGCACGCGTCCAGGTGGCCGGTTGGATACACTTTGCTCGCGTGGGTGGTCAATTTGCGCCCTAAAATCTCAGGAACTGGGAAAACTAGAGACACCAAACGGAAAGCTGGAGACACCAAATTCACAGCACGATGAACTGTATGTAAACTCACTCGGGTCAGATTTTCAGGTTCTTAGGCCCTGCTATAGGTCAGCGGCCTTACAAGGCACATCTAAATTTTATACCAAACGATTCGCCATTCAATTGTCTAAAAATCCGCCATCTTTGGCGTGGCTACGCCACGCCGTTTGAAAACCATTCTGGGAAAAATTCGAGGAGGTCATACTGACCCCCACCTGAGCGCGTGTTAACAGTCAAAGAAGTTCCGGTTATTAGACTGCCGCAAGTGGCCCCGCCAAACACCGTACAGAGGAAGAGTCGGACGCATCACCTACCCTGTCCAGTTCTGGAATCCACCTAAGGCCTGTTGCTCATATTTGCAGTGCAGGTAAGATACACGTTATCTGATGACTAGATCCTCCATGCCGGGGTAATTATGACGCCTCATTGATGCTTAACACTGAATTTATTTAAGAGGGGATCTTAGAGTCTTTGTAGAGAACCCGCCTGAAGAAATGTTGGTGTCAAGATAGGCTTTACTCACTGTTATACTTCTTAAGTTGACACGCTATCAATTCTGGCAGGGCCACGCTTTTGAACAATCCGCCTCGGTGGCTCCTTACGTTGGGCGGATATTCGTCTAAGGACGTACAACGAACTTGATTAGCGTAGCTCCATGCTTGGAGGTGTACAGACGCGGGGCGCAGAGTGGCAGGAGCAGCTTGCCCCGCTGACCCTCACGGTTCCAAGTGCCCTTGCAGGAGCATTTGCCCAAGTGGCCCGGATCGACCGGCTCGGCAGCAGAGGGGTGTTCCCCCTCCGGTCTTCACAGGCTGGCACCCGGCGGCCTCCCTGCAACTGGGTTAGAGCCGGCGGCCGGCGCTCGGTCGCCGCCTCTCTATCGATTGCCGGCGGCCGGTGGCGCCGGTCCGAGCGGCGGCCGCACCGACACGGCGGCGCCTCGAGGTCTGGCGCTGCTGCAGCACAGGGTCTGGTGCTGCCACAAAACAGGGTCTGGTGTTGCCATGGTACGGGGTCTGGTAGTGCCGCAGCACAGAGTTAAGTGCTGTCGCGGAACAGTGTGCTGCCGCGAAACATGATCTGACACTTCCACGGCACAACGTCTGGTGCTAACATGGCACGGGGTCTAGTGCTTCCGGAGCTCAAACTCTGGTGCTGCCGGAGCACAGAGTTTGGTGCTGCCTCAGCACAAGATCTAGTGCTTCTGCGGCACATAGTCAAAAGCTATCGCGGGCAGTGAATCTGATATTTATGTGGCACAGGGCCTGACTGCTGCAGTGGCACAACACTCGGTAACACCGCGGCGCAGAGCCTGACTGCTGCAGTGGCACAACACTCGGTAACACCGCGGTGCAGAGCCTGACCGCTGAAATGGCACAACCTCGGTAATACTGCGGCACAGATCCTGACTGTTGCACTGGCACAGCATACCGTAATACTGCGGCGGAGAGTGTCGTAATCATAGCTGGCGGCAATGGAAAGGAGCACATAGCAACTAGTTGTGTCTTTAGGTAGCGAACATAATTAAGCAAAGTTAAAGTTGGCAAGCTAATGCTACCACGCGATGCGTCTATGACGAGGCCTGTGGGCTTTAGGCACAGGCTGGAAGAATTCATCATCTTATTTGGTAACACAGCTTTGTGCCCTATGAGAAGCAGTGTTGTCATATATCGTCAGGATTATGGAGAATAGTTTTCAAACGATCTTATCCTTCCGTGTGTCCATTGGTCTTTTTTCGCTCGATTTTTACAACCATAATGTCAAAGGAACATTAGGTGGTAAACACTAGGGCATACACAGGGGCGGAGAATGCCGAGGATGTGATGCTGCAAAGTCCTCAAAATTGTCTTATCTCAGTGGGAAAAAGATAATGTCATGACAGCTTTAGTTTACTTTCGCGTAGCCGGTGCCACACCTGCCAATCCGCATTTTTCACCCGTGCGCATAGAGTTTCAATAGTTGGAGAGTGACACGGGATAGGTCAGCGGCACAAACCCCCAACTCCCGGTCAGATGCCACGCCTGAGGGATAGGCTGTGAGTCTCGGCCGACACGCACGGGACCTGTGCGCTACGGCTCAGATCAAATGATCACTGTGTTGCCAAGCAGCGCTGGTAGCCTGTGTTCACCTGGTCGCGGCCGCGGTCAGATGAAGCGACAGCAGCGTGACGGGTCTTCCCTCTCCTCCTGGTCGCATGTGGCATTTGTAAGACCTTCTCTCTCCTCCTGGTCGCATGTGGCATTTGTAGGGCCTTCCCTCTCCTCCTGGTCGTATGTGGCATTTGTAAGGCCTTCCCTCTCCTCCTGGTCGTATGTGGCATTTGTAGGGCCTTCCCTCTCCTCCTGGTCATATGTGGAATTTGTAGGGCCTTCCCTCTCCTTCCGGCCGTATGTGGCACTGGTCGGGTTTTCCCTCTCCTTCCGGCCGTATGTGGTATTGGTCGGGTCTTCCCTCTCCTTCCGGCCGTATGTGGTATTGGTCGGGTCTTCCCTCTCCTTCCGGCCGTATGTGACACTGGTCGGGCATTCCCTCTCCTTCCGGCCGTATGTGGCACTGGTCGGGTCTTCCCTCTCCTTCCGGCCGTGTGTGGCACTGGTCGGGTCTTCCCTCTCCTTCCGGCCGTATGTGGCACTGGTCGGGCATTCCCTCTCCTTCCGGCCGTATGTGACACTGGTCGGGCCTTCCCTCTCCTTCCGGCCGTATGTGGCACTGGTCGGGTCTTCCCTCTCCTTCCGGCCGTATGTGGTATTGGTCGGGTCTTCCCTCTCCTTCCGGCCGTATGTGGCACTGGTCGGGTCTTCCCTCTCCTTCCAGACGTGTGTGGCACTGGTCGCCTCACGTTACAATCATTATGCGGAAGCCATGTCTAGCACCTTGGTAGAGGACCTATGACTCTATTCTGCTGTTACGCGCTGGTGAAGCTGCAATGTGTGATATGCGGCATTTTCGTTCGGACATTTAATTATCAGCGTGTTCAATGTATCGTATTGTGCTGTGCGCCTTTAAGCTCATTCAAATTCATGTCCACTTGTGAGCTCGAGTCGACATCATAGCGAGGTTTGAAGGAATAACACACCGTCAAAACACTAATGTAAACTCAAGAGCACTCCACCTCGCGGAATAAAAGGCGAAGAAAGAAGGGGTTGTTGTGTGAATTGCCTTTCATAAGTCTCTTTGCAAAGCTCAAATGATGGTGCAGGCAAGTCAAAGGTAGCCCAAAGAGCAGCGGTATTGTTCGCCGCCATGTTGCGATTCCACGGTTTTGTAGTGCTTCAGATCTGCGTGTCTTGTCTTATGTATGTGATTCTTCAAACTGAATTTTTGAAGACGGCTCCTGTGAGTTTCACATAATTTCAGCCATCGTCATGACCAATGCACCCCGCACTGCGCATTAACTTCCTTAACAGCTGACTTCACTCCGTTTGAGACAGCTGTCCTCATGACCATTATCGCCAACTGCGTGGTGCTGGCGCTGGAAGAACATCTCCCCAACGAGGACAAGACAATGCTCGCCATCAAACTGGTGAGGCACAAGCCTATGGCTTCGAGGGCTAACCTTCATGCACGACCATATGCGAAATTCCTACCCGCCCACCACACCGTGCAGCGCAGTGGGTCTCTGTTGAACTATGCCGTAATAAACCAGTTACATGTACGAAGCGAAAGCCCCGTAAGACGTACCAAAGGTACTTTTGTCAAAAGTCACGCAACGCTGTGTCGTCACAGTGCATGATCGTGGCCACTTGCCCAGTGAAGCCGCTTCCAGAACGGCCATTGCGTGTTTACCGAGACATGGACGTTGTTGATCGTTCTTGGCTTTTGTTTTGCAGGAGGCGACCGAATCTGTTTTTTTGTGTATCTTCTGCGTGGAAGCATCACTGAAGATAATGGCGCTAGGATTTGTGCTACACAAGGGTGCCTATCTTAGGAATATCTGGAACATTATGGATTTCATAGTTGTAGTAACCGGGTGAGTAGCGATTTAATACACTCTTTAGATTTAGGTAACCGTGATTATTGGCTTCGAGATTGTATTTCTCATCCTGAATCACCGGACTTCTTACTAAGCGTTTTTTGTCTTCCGACGATGACTATAAATAGCGTCAAGCTGGTTCGCAGTAACTCATCAGGTGAATGTACTTTGAGATCATCCATGATACAATTTGTGCTCCGTGTTCGATGTGGACGTTTGATCAGTGTATTTGTTAAGCAATGGTCCCGTGTGTCCCCGTCGCTTGAAACACCCAGACGTGATTACATGCTTGCGAAGTGGATAAGAAAATGACTGGATGTAGACTAGCTGCAGGTCGGCGTTGATGGGTCCGGGCGCCGTGGCCTTATGCAGGCTACGCGGGTCAGATACGGCTGACGCCGACCCTCGCACTCGCAGCCTGATCACGGTTTTCATGTCGGAGGCCATCAACGTTGATCTGCGAATGCTGCGTTCATTCCGCGTTCTGCGCCCGCTTAAACTGGTGTCTCGTGTGCCAAGTGAGTGTGTGCTTGCCGGGCGCCGGGGTGCGCGAGGCGAGGGCGCATTGGACCGTTGCGGCGGTGGCTGCCGCTCGGCCGCACGTGAAGTGCATGCGACTGCGGCACGTGCCGCCCGCCACGTGCACGTGCACGCCCGTGGCGGGCCCGTGGACGAGGTGCGATGGCAGAGTGACGGAGGGAACCGACCCGGGCGTCCGTCTGACTGCCTCCTCTCTCTTTCTCTCATCTGTTCCTGGCAGCACCATGACACTATTTGTCGAGGCTCGGATTGACGTAGACTTTCGAATGCTCCGGTCGTTCCGGGTTCTGAGGCCTTTAAAGCTCGTGTCAAGAGTGCCTAGTAAGTCATCGAGTCCAGGTGCAGCAATTAGGTTAGGCTAGCCTAGGGAGGCTTAGGCTTAGTATAGATGCTACACATGTTCCGCCAGAACATAGAGAACTAGATCATAAGGAGGCCTTGCCTTAGCGGCGTCATAGTTGTCCTTAACATGTGCACTGGGAATAATTAGCTGCCTTAATTGGACCGCCGCTATAGTCATGAAGATAGATGGCAATAGGCCACAGCTTAGAACACAGAGCTGGTGATATTACTCAGCAAACTAAATGCAAATTGAATAGCTCTGAACGTGTGCTTATTACAGACCCCTTCAACGACGAGACATTTCCACTTACGCAGATTTTGCCTGCACGCATACCCTTAGAGATAATATTCGCCTTGTAATTCTAAGATTCGTGTTTCCAAATTACTCAAGAGGTGATCGTCACGGCCTAAAGGACGGATCTCAAATTCGGCGTACGGGATATGCTGTCCCCGGGCTTGACTTACGTAGCTTTTGCGAAAGTGCTTCAAGTGGGAGGAGACTCCTTGCACCTACCCGTGGGCTAAAAATAACCACTCTTTTTTTAGAATTAATTATCAATGTTTCTAGGCAGGTGTGACGCAGTTCCTAATGGTGATCCCATATGTATTTAAATGCAAATGGTATGTTTAATGTCACGTTAGGTCATAGCATCGCAAGGACCATGAGTTCGTGACAGAAGTTTAACACTACTCAGCCTCACAATGAGCACTCAAAAATTTATTCTCTGTGCTTAGCTGCTCCGATTTCACACATCAGCTAATGTGCTATCGTGCCTGCCAAGGCCAATTCCTCGATAGGAGGTAAGCTTCGGGGCATCAACAAAGGTCATGTTAGGTCAGCTTAAACGTGACGAACACAGACCATCTACACCACCTATTCGCCATGTACAGTCAGCCTGCCGCGCGCATTGGATCGGTCAGTGCGCTGTTGACCATTGAATGGATCATCAAAGTTTACTCTAGCTTGCTCTAGCTCAGATCATCAAAATTTTATGTAGGTCATGTGACTGAGAATAGCAGACAACTCATTCAATATCACTTGATGTGACCTTAAGCCAACTGGACCCTGATCTGACACGAACCTAGCTTTAGTTTCTTGTGGTAATCATGGTATGTCCGTGATGAGGAGGAGAATTGTCTGTGAGCTACCGGTCTTCAAAAGCGTTTCAGCTCTTACGCTTTCGAGAAAGTCGCGCAATGATGAGACAATTTTGGGAACATCGACTTATAAAAGATGGCATGTGCTGATGCCAGCCACATGATAGAGATACACAAAACATTTGCTATTAAAGGTGGCTGAAGCTCGCCTCTGTTCTTACACACCTCCGATTTGATGATGAAACCCGATGAAGTACGAGAGACTTAAAAGTAAACACCACGCGGTGTGGCTAACGAAATATCTCCGGTAGTGCCTGCTGTCATTGCTTATCTAAGACGCCTAACACAATCGTAGACATAAAACTGGCGCAGGCTTACGGTGCATGTGTCTGTACCGTTGGAACCGTTATCGGTTACGTGCTCTTATAGCGGTTAGGACATCTATCCGGCGAGGATGTTAATGTTTTACAGCTTTATAGAATTTAAGTATTCGCAGCCATGGCGTTGTGTGATAAAAACGAATCAGGACGCAATACTACCGCCAGTGGTTTGTGGTACTTTCTTTCCTAAAACTTTTTCCTAACAATGAAAGTTAGTTGAAAATGTGGATTACGTGTTCAGAATTAAAACAGCCGACGAAAAATTTTGGTAGATTTCGTAGGTATTCTTAGCACTGTATCATAATGTGCCAATCACAACACATGCTTGTTGGGATTATTCCTGGCATGTCTATTAGCGGCTTGCCAGAGGCCGCTTCTACATCTGCTAACAGAAATCAGCCTTATAAGAAATTTATGGAGGGTACAAAACATAAGCTCGGCTGGTTCAATACGAACATTTCTTCTGTGAATCGCCAAAGGCATACCACGACTAAAAAGCGCCTTTCCCGATACAGCCACAGCTGGCAGTGCCAGTGAGGCCAGACTCCGACCCTCCCTTGTGCACCAAGCGCCGAGCTAGTGCTAGCCGATAGTGTGCCACGTAGCCCATTAACTGCTAGCGTCCGCCTAGGGCGGCCAGAACCCCAGGTCACACCCGCGGGACTCCAGCCAGAGCCGCTAGTGCATAGAGTGACTAGTTGTGCTCTCCTTTCAGACTGGTAACGTTGCTAGCTGACAAGCAGTTGACCTCTGGGGTCGACTTCAGGACGCTCAGGGCCATTCGTGTCCTGCGACCGCTTAAGCTAGTGAACGGCATCCCTAGTAAGTAGCACAACTAGTTTTAGCGTTGCTTTTGCAACCTCTGTTCGACCGCGATCCCTCAACTGATGTGTCTTCGTTTTGAATGCAATGACAAGCCAAGGTAAGTTAAAATAACTGAATGCTCTACGTTTTACAGCCATTCAAAACAATCGCCTCCAGAATCAGTCGATCCACATTTTGACCATGTCAATGGCTAGTTTAATGCAACTATGTCCTCGGCAGATCAAGGAAAGCATGTGCGCATATATCTTTCGTCAGCACATTTCAATGAAGGATCATATCGGTCCGATGGCACGTGTCACTGCAGAGTGAAACAACGTCCAGAGACAGCCTAGGTCACCGACAGGCACTGAAACAGTCGCCGGGTGCCACAGCAAGTGCCAATCTCGGACGCCTGGGCCTTCAGTTCGCCCCGTCCTGACCCGGCTCCGGTGCGGGGAAGCCGCAGCTCGAGCGCGCGGCCCGGGCCTGGCCCGGGGGTAATGCGCGCGTGTGAGCTGCGTGCGGCGTGCCGGGTGGGTCAGCTGGCTCGGTCCGCTAGAGACCGACAGCGAACCGCCGATCAATAGCCCAGCCGCCGGCCGGCTGCCGCCGCCGCCGCCGCCGCCGCCGCCGCTGTTGGTAAACCGTCTCCATGGTGATACGGTGCGCGCACGTACGTGTGCACACACCGCCCTCGCGTGCACACACCCACGTGCGGCGTGCATGCACGTTCCGTGGCGCCGGTGACAACACGCCCCGCGCACACGAGCTGGCCGATGGGCGCCGCCCCACCCCAGCGCTACCGATGCATGAACGACTTCGCGCCGGCTGTTCCTTTTGTCAGCTGCGTCAAGAGCGACCGCACATTCAGGCGGTCGACCGTCACGCCGGAATAGCTCGTGCGTCACGCCGGTCGCGTTCGATGGTTGCCGTTTAGGTGCTGTAGCGCGAGTGACGACCTGCAGTGGTCGAAGGTCGCGCTCTCTTCGTTCCAGTGGAGACTGTGCCGGCAATGGCGCCGCCGCATGCGTCTCCGCTGCGACGACGCGTAGGCTGTCTCCACGTCACACAGCTCTCCTCTGGTGTGACGCACGTCTCGGCTGGTGTGGCGTACGTCTCGGCTGGTGTGACGCACGTTTACGCTGGTGTGACGCACGTCTCCGCTGGTGTGGTGCACGTCTTTGCTGGGCTTTGTTGAGGATCGGCTCATTTTTCCGCATTTAGACAATCAACGAGAAGGTGGGCAATTGGAAGACTTACTCCGTGGGGAATGCTGCTATTTCGTGATGGCACGCGTTCCAAGAACCCGTGGACGCTGCCTCTCTCCGCCATGCACCACAGCCAGTGTCAGGATCACTTCCACAACAAGTCCATTGCCTCAGTCGCCTCGATTTGCGGGTTCTGGATCGGGTTCCAGACCTGGATCCGGATCCGGGTCCGAATATGGATATGGTTTCTCGTGGCTCGAGTCCAGGCCAAACCCCGTTTTGCTGCGCGCGCTGGCGCCACCAGTATGCGACACGCTGCAAGGCTACCTTTGGCACCCTATGAACAGCCCTTTTCGACATGCCTGTTGGATGACTCGCCCGGGCGACAGGCACGCATTGATGCCTGTAGTAACGAAACTAGTCCCATCTACCGACCTTGATCGGAGGGTCGGTCAATGACCTGCATCTGATCTCCCCAGACGTGACTGATTCTGTCTTACTTTTTTGACGGACACTGAACCTCAGCGGTGACCTCGACGGCGCCTTCCTATTTCGAGCGCATTTTCGCTACATATGCGCACTACTGCTACTACGCACACACTACTCTGTTGCCTCATGCACTGCTGCTTTAGTGGGTACAGTCTCCTTTGGCTGACCGGTTACACATGAGGCCATGTCTGGCATGGAAACGTGTGACTGGGCTCTGTCCCGTGTCGACCCTTCCTTCGGGGTAGCTGGGTCGCGGGCGTCAGAGTCAGAAGAAGAGAATAGGGCCAGTTCTGATTTAATGCTGAATCGAGGGACAAGCTGACAGGAGAAGCATTCGAAGTCGTGGTACATGAGAGTGGTTCTGCCTGTTCTTGCTTCCGCATCTCGGAGCGCTAGTGAACGTTTGTGAGGAGGCTGCCTTCGAGGAAAGTGGCGGCTCCGGCGGGTGAGCATGGGCCAGAACATGACGGCACTACTCGACACAGCTTGACGGACGGCGTCTGCAGCGGCTAGGCAGCACACAGCACCGGCCGGCACGTCAAAAACGGAGAGCAGTCTCACAAAAACGTAGACCGCTGCCTTGCTAAGCTGGCACTTAGTGGAGGCCACAGCACGCGAGCAGCGAGACCGGGGTATTGTTCTGCCTCTGACACTTCGTACACCGTTGACCTGGCGTTGTTGTTCAATACTCTTCTAATTCGGTAGTAGTATTAGTAGCTCGCCAGCTGTCGTCCTTGACATCGACTTTTTCAATCATATCTCATTAAGAAATACAGCACAAAACGATAGTATAGATGATGCGCCACTAGCCCTTTTGACTGCACTTGATTTCTTGTTTTGTTTAGTAGGATTCGCATGTCTTTGCTGGGAGTGCCGCGGCTCTTAATGTTCCAACCACTGATGTCGGTATTAACATAAGGTTCTGTGTGCCACGGTGGACAGGGGTGTGCACTCCTGGTCGCCTGTTATCGGTGATGGGTAGGAAAAAATGTTTCTTAAAGCTGTCACAAGTTCAGTTGACTTAGTTGTAGAATACTGCAAGTCCGTCTTCAGGGTATGCTGTGCCTCTGTTTGACTAAGCACCGACGAGCGCGATTGGGAGCGTTTTGGGAAGTCAGATATCTGATCCAAACTTAAGGCAGCCTTTAGCAACAACCATAATACAGGTCATAGCTGGAAAACTGGTTATGCACTTGAAACATGGGTTGAACAATGTTTTATTATCAATTGCCGGAATCCAAACAAGTAATGCGATGTTTTTATTTGCTGCGTTCCAACACGTACACGCATTTGGCTAGGTGATATGATGATATGTGACTGAGTCTATGCTTAGAGTCAAAGTCCTTTGTTTTCGTTTGGTTCTGTTTGTTGGGCGGATGTTTTGTCTCGCATTACTGGCGCATTCGTCGTTTTTTACGGAGGTCCACCTTTTTTCTGACGACTGCACCGGCTAAAAGTAGCGTAATTTGTCCAAGAAGGAAGCATGTAAGTTCATGATTGCAACAGAAGGAAGTAGGTCCACTTGCATATTATTTCCACTTAACAGCACTTACATAATTCATTGACACGATTTTTGTCACTGTCAAGAAAAGACTGCCTTTATGCTCCTTAAAGTGCTAGAACATAGATGCTTTTGGTGTTAGAGAAAGGAGATGTTTAAGAATTGATTTCATTGTTGCGTACAGGTGTGATTGATAAACTGCAAGCGGTTTATGTTGATGGATTTATAAGTTTTCCCTTTAACAGCCTGCCGACATTTGAGGCTCGTAATTCTTAACGCATTTACTGCAGTTGGTAATGACTACTTAGTTGCGGTACAGCCTCGTAACGTAGTGCATGTGGGTAGTGGATTGTGTTATGGAAAGTTGAATGGCCATTGCCATTGCTCAGAAGATACCTGTTTGCACAGTTGAAAATCATGCCGGTATTTAACGTCGGGTGATGATTTCAGGTCTTCAGGTAGTGCTGAAATCCATCATCAAAGCCATGGCGCCTTTGTTACAAATCGGCATGTTGGTGTTATTTGCCATCGTCATATTCGCCATCATCGGCCTCGAGTTCTACTTTGGCGCTCTTCACAAGACTTGCTATAGCTTAGAGGATTTCGGTAAGTCCTTGCCGTCGTGAATGTGTTAAGACGTGCCTTATTCTTTGGGAGGCATTTTACAAATCAGCCATCTTGAAAGTAGTTTGCAATTATTGCAACATTGGTGCGCATCGCTGGTTGCTGTGGAAGGCGGCAAAGTATACTTACTCTTTCCGTTTGTGTGAGAAATCAAACACTATTCATATGGACATGCTGCATAATCTCCTGGAACAGAACTAAAAATTCAGTTGAAACCCCCCAAAAATTTGTGGTTTTGTATGTAACCCTAGGTTACCAGTGAGATCGATGAAAGATTACGTGCATTCTGTATGCTTATAAAAATCGTGGTTATTTCTACATTCGGACCTCGCAACTAAATGCTGTTGCAACGTGCTCATACAGGCGTGGATATGTCCACTCACGGTAATCAATCATTGTCTCGTGCTATGACGCAAGCGTTCTATGGTCCTGAAACCATTGAAATCCAAAAACAGGTTATGGCTTTTACTGATCACGTTACTTAAGAATAATCTTCACCAAACTGTACAATTTCGGTAGGAGATGCAAACAACGTTCTTACTTTTTTAAGCTGTCTCACATGCACATTGCTGTTGCATTTCTGTACCGATATGTGCCATTTTCAGATCAAATTGTCACGGAGGGAGAGCAAGCCACTCCATGTGATCAGGCGAATCCGCCAGCGACGGGTAAGTGTTGGACAAAACCTACACCGAGAGAAAGGAGGGCTGTGTCCCTTACCCCGCGACCACCGAGGTGGGAACCTGAAGTCCCCCATCTCCTCACCTTCCGCAGGTCCGGAATAACTTGTGTTCAGTACGAGCTGGGGCCAACAAATTGTATGCACCTTACAGGGGATCAATTTGGCACCTAGCGGAGTAACACGACATTGCAATGCCTGGTCACGCCACCAGGTTATGGCAACACCAGCGATTGCCTTCCCGGCAATTTTTTTCTTCGCAGCAGTTTCTCCTCCTGTCTGTGGTTGCTTTATTGAATGACTGGCCGCTTCTCAGGATCAGCCAAACTAAATGAGGTCGCATCGGGTCAACATCAGAGTTCATGTGAGGTCAGCGAGGAAGTGTAGAGCCAACGAGACTTGCCTCGATGATTTGTGATAAGTGGGTGGGTGTAACTGACACATCTCTGAACTTTTGCGCTCTACATGACATGCGGACCGTAAGATCAGCTGAATGATGTCAAATAAGGTGGCCTGACATGATCTGTCAATATATGCCTGACCTGGACATCTATTTATCGCTGTCATTTGTTGACATCACGATACAATCATGGGGGTCAAGCATACGTTCAGTCGTTTCGGATCAGTTGCAAAGTCGTGTAACCATTATCACGGATGCCAGATCGCTGAGGACATTCGGAGGTACGGCTTATTTGGGGGTAACTTTGGTTGAATCTGACGTAATCGGTCACTTGTCAGATGTCATCTCAGTGATTTCTGAATATGATTCACCATAGCTATCGAGCGCTGTTTCAGCAGTGATGATGCGGAAAGTGTTCCCTGAGATACCAGGGGAGCTTTTAACCTCCCCAGTCGGTCTCGTGTGGCATAATACCCCAGGTGGTGCCGGATAACACCTGTGAGAGTCATTATCAAGTGGCAGCTGATCATAGTAACACCTTCAGTTTTGCTTCAGCGTGACTTTTACATTTCTGCTAACGGATTACTTTCCGGTGAGAGTTTTTGGAAACATGTTTTACGTGACTAAAAAAGCGCTCACAAGCGTGTGTGGCTTTTTTAGTAAAATCGTTTAAACAGGCAGACATCATCCCAGTATAAACTTGTGAATTATACACAGCACAAACCAACTGCCTCGAGGCACTTCTAAACAAAGATCACGTGGTTTGGGTTGAGATCAGTTGACTCAGGACACATTCGTGCAGGCAGGGAACGGTGGGCTTTTTAGCTCTTATATTTCTGGAGCTGATTTCACTTTCGGCTCCTCTTAACAATGACATGAGAATTAACTTTTGATTATCAAAAATGCACTTTTTTGGTTTGTCATGTTTTACAATGAACAGCGCGTTGTAAATTCGCTGGAGCATCTTTCACTGACTCATGAGTTCCAGCTTTTTTAATTGAATTTTTCACTCCCATACGGCCTTTTTGCGAGGGAATTTTTCCCTCCCACCCTAGTTCAAAAGTGATTCCAGCGCACTGGGCTATTCCAGTGGCTTGAGGGAAAAATAGGTGTGTCATTATGATCTATTTGACAAAAACATGGGAAAACGGAGCAGATGGCGCTTCCGAAACTTTTTTGGATAGGGCTGGTGCATCGCAGAAGTCAACACAACGCTTGACATCCCGAGGTGGTCCGACACATTCGATTTTAATCGTGTGTCTCTAGGAAGCTACCGGTGCGAGAACACCACATCCATGTGCCGAGAAAAGTGGATCGGACCCAACCAAGGAATCACCTCATTCGACAACATCGGCTTCGCCATGCTGACCGTGTTCCAGTGCATCACAATGGAGGGGTGGACAGCCATCCTCTATTGGGTGAGTACGAATCGTCGAAATGGATGCAGACCGATCTGAAATCTGCGGCGGCCGTTAATGAACTGCATTTTTGTCGGCTGTGTGCTTTCAGATTTGGAAATTTTGTCGTCATCATAAAGATGGAGGCCCACGGCGTCGGTACGTTCTTTACGGTTGAGGAATCCGATTCAGGAGCGACTTCACGAGCATGCGTATGACGCATGTTTCTCTTCGGCAGACCAATGACGCTGTTGGCAGCACGTTCAACGTCGTCTACTTCGTGCCTCTGATCATCATCGGCTCCTTTTTTATGCTCAATTTAGTTCTCGGCGTGCTGAGTGGGTAAGTGGGAGCGGCGCGCGCTCAAGCGACACGCCGCAGCTGCCGCTCTCGACCAATTAGCGAGACGGGCCGGACTCGGCCCTGAGTGCTGATTGGCCCGTTCACCGAGAGCTTCGCGTTCGCTGACGCAACGTCTCTGTGGCTGCGCGGCGCCGGTCGGCGGCGGGGTCCGCCTGGCCCGGCCAGCCCGCCGCCGCAGCCGCGGCGCCCGACACTGAGCAGAGCCAGACGGGCCAGCCCCGGGCACCATCCCCGCCACGCTTCACCCGATGGTGTGTGTCATGGACCAGCCGGGGCGCCGCGGGCTGTGTCGTGCGCCTGCCTCGCCGACAGTCGGCTCGCTCCGGATGACGAGGCGGCGCCGACCTCTCGCACGGACCGTCCATCGCCCGAGGCCGGGGCTGGAAGTTCACCGTTGTCCGTACGTCCGTCATGGCGTTGTTTCGCGAATCCGCAGTCCTGGGACAATTATGGTAGTCTTGACTGGGTGATGATAAATATTCGAGAGCAAGTAAGGCGCCGTGTATCGATCTGCCAAAACACCAGTGTCAAGATGCAGCCGGTAGTGATTATTGTACGGAAGTCATAGTTGAACTTTGAAAAATTGACGGCGACTTGGCGTTTAACCACCAGTGAGTTTTCCAACGAGCGAGTCCGTGTTGAACGAAAAGAGCAGTTCCGAAAGATGCGAGAAAAAAAGCTGGTGGCTGAGGCCTTTACGGGTTACTGCGACTGGATCTGTAAAGCAGGTGATGAAGGAACGCACGGTCGCGCACGCGACAGACTGACGCCGGTCGTGTCTTGTCTGGTGACGTAGACGGTCTTTAGTCGACACCAGACCTCCGCAGACGCACATCCTGCAGCTGCGCAGGTATTGTAGCGTCGTGGCCGAGTTGGCGGCGGCCGGCCGGTGGCCAGAATAGACCCAATGACGTCACTTTCTGCCGTGACCAGGCTTAGCTCGGTCGCCGGTCCACCGGTCGGCGCCGGCTCAGGCGCGCACGGACGCTCACACTTCACATGCACTCTCACGTAGGTGTAGCCCGTGGTGTGCTGCGCAATCGGGCAATATGCAGTTCAGGAGAATGATGTCCTGTCATCGTGTCGTGATTAACCTCCGGATTGTTTTCAGTGAGTTTGCCAAGGAGCGAGAGCGGGTAGAGAATAGACAAGCCTTTTTGAAACTTAGGAGACAGCAGCAGTTAGAGAGAGAACTGAATGGCTATGTTGAGTGGATTTGTAAGGCAGGTGCGTAGAACTCCATGTTAAGTGTTCCGTCTGCACGTTGATATGATCGTTGAAAGGAATGCATGCAGGCTGCATGATTTTTTCTGACCACATTACAACACCTGACAATGATCGCTATCGATTTGCTAGAATATGCTGATCAAGTGATACTGTCGCCCACTTTCCCGGGCTAACTTGCCGTGTCCCGTCGCCTTCCTCCATGAGGCTTTGAACCACCACGCCGATTCGGATCCACGCTAGCACATGACCTTTCTGTGCGCTTGACTATATACTCCGCACGGTGAGTCGCTGATGCGCTGTGCGACCTAACCCCAGGATCCCCAGCTCGCTTTGAGAACGAGATGCTCTTCGCCTCGCAATTGTTTTGGAGACACTTTTCAGGGCAGACACCCTTCTATTTTTGGCTATGCCTGGCTTGATATGCTGGTACCCGCCGAACAGTCTAAATGTTGAAGTGCGCGCACCGACTGCTACCACTTCTGAAGTGTTTTCTCGTCCCGATATTTTTTTTTCGGTTTGCAAGGCTGTGCGCTGCTTTGGGCTTTTGATCCTGGTCAATTAGTGTATGAATGACAGCTTTTAGATTTTCGTCGAAACGCGATCAAGGACCATAGCTTCATCCTCCGAAGGCATGTGGTGATAACCGTCAATGCTTTCTGGAAAATAGTTATTTTGTTGATGAATCCTGTGCACGCCACCGTAAGATCTAGCCGATGGTCGTTCATGATTATATTGTGCGATTAGAATCCAAATTCATGGTGCTTACCCGAGACCACATGCGTGTCTGGTACGCTACACTTGTTTTGTGAATTTGAATGCTAAATCGTCTGTTGCGTCTTCAGAGGAAGTGATATTAGCTGAGGAGAGGACCACGGAAGAGGAGAAAATGCATATCATGGAAGGTAAGAGCTGCAGTCTGGGTCACGTGGCAGATAATGCGCAACGATTTGGCTCTTTTTGGAAGCCGTTTGCTACTCCTGCCCCAGCAACTCGTCATGAAAAATATGACCGTGGCGTGTTGTGTTGTGTTATAATTATCGATTGCGGTCATTGAAAAACTCTAAAAATAACTTGTTTTGAACAGGTGGAAGGTGAGATCTTCCCCACCCATACGATCTCAGAAACACCTAAGCTATGCACACATTTGTAGGGTGGTTCTAGGTCACAAGAAACCTTGTGTGCAGTTGTGGTGACCGAGTCAGTTTTTTTTTTAGAACGAATCAAGTTTTGAACCATGTTCTGCACACCGTGTGGTCGGTGCTTCTTTACTGTTCCATCCTGTGCTTGTAGTGTCATAGGGCAATGGCTGTCACAATTTTAACCAGTATAAAAGTTGTAAACGGTGCGCTCGTCTTTTATTTGAAAATAAGGTACGCTAGCTCATTTGTAGGGTGCGTGATTGCCAGACCAACTGCTGGCCCGCCCGATAATGTCCTGCTGTTGTCATTTGTCAGGGTTGTGGTGATCTGGTGGTCTGGATCTTGGTCCCTTATATAAAGGACACGATTCGGAATCCTGTTGCGCAATGGCTCCCTGGGCGCTAACATAGCTACCGTAGGCGTAGAGCTCCATAATGGCGTTCAGGACAGTGCGTCACGTCCCTTTAAAAAGCGTCGACTTTTTCGCTTAGCAAACACATCTTTGGACACTCCTGGCTTATCTATAAGTACGCAAACAGATTACGCAATCCAAACCTGATAGCAATCTTCTACGACCTTCTGTGAGACATAATTTTACGAGTTTAAAAAACTATTTTTTCTCGAAATTATTGGATGATTTAACAGGTGGACTTGACGTTGGTAGTAACGTGTCTAGTCACTTGGCTTTTGCGTTCTTAGCACGGCGAAAAGCGGCAGCGAAGAGGAAGAAGTTGAAGAACCTGGGCAAGAGCAAGAGCACAGACACCGAGGAGGAGGACAACGACGGCGAGGAGGACGGTATGTCCTCTCGGTTCAACATACTATCGCTCGCTTTCCCTTCGTCACCACTGGCGGACAGTGCATTCTGCCCTGTTTGACTCAGTTTGGTGGCTTAATTCGTTGGCAGTGAAAACAAGATGGCAAACATGTTCGGCGGGTTAAACAGATGTCATTTCCGGATCAGTGCGGTGTATTTATCATTAGAAGGGTCACAGCAGTGTCCCAAGCTCCGTGACACGAATGAGTTGCGTCTTAAGGGACCAGCCCAAACGAATCATGTCGGCGAAGTGATTACTGACGCTGTTTTACGCTTTTTCTTCAGCTTTGTATATGCCGAAAAAGAAAACAGGTAACCGACAATGCTCTGTAGCTTGGAGGCCAGTGCCCCTGATCGGCCATTGCTTGTCACCGAGGCTACCGGAGTGGGTCGGTGTGTAGGCTAGAAAGTACGGTCGTCGATAGGTAGTGTTTGATTGTGTTGCAGTCTCGTACGCAGTTGCCAGGACGATAGCATCTCTAGTTCAGAAACAGTAGCGGTCCGTGCGGCACCCGTGCTCTGCCACCCCACCCATTCTCTGCGTGAACCCTCTGGACTCCCACTAGAAGTCTGTGCTTTACGAGTCGCCCTTAGCGTAGCTGGGAGCGGGAGTGTGGCTGCCCGATAGCGGGGTGCCGCCATGCCCATTCGTCTCCTAGTGACCGTAGGCGTCGCCGTGCAGGCCGGCCCGCGGCAGTAGCTGCAACCAGGTGTCCGTGGTCTGAGTCATGGACCCCGCGCGCGGTAAACACCACGTGACGTGACGGGGCGTGTGTAGCGTCGGCTACCAGCGTGACTCCTCACATGGTGCTGGACCACGCTGCCGCCACGCTCGGCCGCTGTGACGATCTGGGCTGAGTTAGCCCGGCCGCTGGAGCTGACGTGTCGGCGCTGTGGCGGTGGGAGACCGCCGCGTTACTTGCCAGCGACCTTAGTCCTCCCCACTGACATTGGCGTCTGCGTGGCTCGGGCGGCGCTGGCTCGCCCGCGAAAAGGCCACGCAAGCCGTGCTGGCGCCGCCAGTCGCCGGCTGCCACCTGCCAAAGGCGGTCCGCGAGGCGCGTGCTGCTTCGCGGTTTCGGTGAAAGATTTCCGCCCGGGTGGCGCGAGGAAGCAGCAAAGCAACGGCAAACACGCCGTCATTGTCTCATTTCTGCGCTATGTCCGCTGGGCCTAATATAACCTGACGGCGATGCTACGTTACGTCTACTTCAGGGGATCGGGGTTCTACAATAGCCTCCAGTTTGGGTAGGACGGCCATCCCGGCAGGCGTGCGTGGGAATCACACCACGGTAGGACGTTCTACGTGCAAGCCTGAAATTGGGCTCTTCTACGTCGACCACTACTCGATCCCGGTCACTTCACAGGTTCTTGATGCCGTTTAAGCGACCCGTTTTTGGGCAGTGACAGCTGACGAGCCACCGTCACGCGTCGCGCATCTCCCGACATTGTGGCTGCGTGCCTACAGAAGCCACTGTGTAGGAATGGCGTACTGTAACGACCCATTTTACAGGCTTGGCCAAGGCGTCATACTTAAAATCAAAAATGAAGAACCAGGGGGCCTGTGCAGGATTTTGGAGAGCAGAGAAGACGTTTAGGTACGTTACAGCTCATCACAAATGTTGTCACAGCCCTTGGCGTTATATAATGGTTTTGTGTAAGGTAGTTAACTCACCAGCTCTGGATCGACCTTACTGTTGAGAGAGGACGCCTGCACGGGATTGTGTGCGATTGTGCGTAACGCCGTGTACTGCGTTGTCCAATGCAATGCTTCTGCGCGAACGTCTTTCAACTGCTTCCGCAAGTGCTGCCGCATCTCATTTACCTCACTTCACCGTGAGACGGAATAGTCTCCTGTCCTCTCCCTTCCTCTCGTCCTCCCTCCTATTTCCTTCTCTACACCGCTTCCCCGCCCGATCTCTCATTTCCTCTCTCTGTGCCTCTCCTCGTCGTCTGCCTGCCTCAACCCCAACATTTGTTTCCTGAGGTGTCGCGCAGCTTACTCCTGTATCATGTTGCACACTTTCCCTCAGGTTCGCTATCCGCAAGGCGGTCAAAACGCAGTTTTTCTACTGGTTCGTGATAGTGCTGGTATTTCTCAACACGGTGTGTGTGGCCGTCGAACACTACAACCAGCCCGACTGGCTCACTTTGTTTCTCTGTGAGTATGACTCGTTAGAAACGCGATCCTGTTTTCATACGTTCTTAATGTCTTTTAGCCTAGGCTAGTGGCCCGCACAAGTTATTAGAAGAATGTGCGCAAGCATACATATTGAAATACGTGGAAGTCCACTTCATAATTTGTTCCTTCCTCGTCTTAAGTTGATGCGAGGAAAACCCTGCGTTTTTACTTTCTGTGACCTCTGGCTGCTTATGACTACTAGCGATCCTCGTCAGCACTGTAGGTATGAAGCTTTCCTGCTTCCCTGATGACGCACGCTGACCCCTAACAACCAACCGATCTGCTTCAGACTACGCTGAGTTCGTGTTTCTCGGACTGTTCATATCGGAGATGCTGATCAAGATGTACGCGCTGGGTCCGCGAATTTACTTTGAGTCGGCCTTCAACCGATTCGACTGCGTCGTCATCTCGGGCTCCATCTTCGAAGTGGTTTGGTCAACGTTCAAGGACGGCTCGTTTGGCTTGTCCGTGCTACGTGCTCTCCGTCTGCTGCGCATCTTCAAAGTCACGAAGTGAGCATTCATTGTGCTGAAATTAAACATTTTGGGTGAGCTTTGAGTTTGCAAGATAATAGGAGATGCTAGTGGCAGTTTTGCTGTCGCCCCTTAATCAAACTCGCCATTTCGGACATGCTTTTCCGTCCACTTTCGCAAGCCTACCATTGGTCTGTGTCAGTTTGTAATGGTCTTCCAGAGCCGTCGGAGACGAAGGTCTTAGCTCGGTCTGATGATGAGTATAATGCCTGGTCCTGGACATTCCGTAAATATCAGAGTGGATACCCGTTTCTGCAAAAGACATTTGTATTGCGAGTCAGATGGTATTATCTACTTTGATCTTAATAGGCTAGCTGGTGTTGCTATAGCGTGTCTATGCTGGTTGACAAGGAGATAAGCCACCGCTGGCTGGAGCCATCGGTCAGCCTACCGCTACTGCCTGTCAACAGGTACTGGTCGTCTCTGCGTAACCTCGTCATTTCCTTGTTGAGCTCTATGCGTTCCATCATATCCTTGCTCTTCCTGCTCTTCCTCTTCATCCTGATCTTCGCCCTGCTCGGGATGCAGCTGTTCGGAGGGGCCTGGAGCTTCAAGGAGGGCACGCCGCTGGCCAACTTCAACAGCTTCGCCGTGGCTCTTCTCACTGTGTTCCAGGTGGGTGGAACAAATCCCGCTGCCGCTTTGGTTCTGCATCTGTTGCCACACATGAGCCTTTTCATAACACTTGTTTTTGTAAGGCTGCGGTTCTGCAATGTTACAGAAACACTGCGTGACAGGATATACCCTCCGTCAGTTTTCGTTGATTGGGTGGTTGGTTTGTGCTTTTAATCCTTATTGAAGGTAGATTGGAAAGAAAAGCGACATGCACAGACAAAACGCATTATTTTAGCATATTTCTTTTGTCTGTGATTTTCATTTAAGAAATACTCAGAGGAAAATTGCTACACCGAAAACCCGCATTTTTGATATACCTATGGTAATGTGCCACAAGGCTCCATAGTTTTCAGGTCAGATGGACTTTTGCTGAAATAATCCGTACAACGCGTTCGTTGCATTGTATGTCTGTGTTGAGCTCAGTTTTGTGCCCCGGGTGGATAGGCGTCGAGCAACATCTGAACCTTGTCTAAACACGCTGACAAACTACCATCATCGTCACAGAACAGCCCGCTTGACTAAAAATTCATAAAAATCGCCTTCGCCTGGTCCAACAGATCCTGACGGGAGAGGACTGGAACGAGGTGATGTACCACGGGATTCAGTCCCAGGGTGGCCACGACAACGGCGGCATGGTCTACTGCCTCTACTTCATCGTGCTGGTGGTGTTCGGCAACTATACTCTGCTGAACGTGTTCCTCGCCATCGCCGTCGACAATCTGGCAAATGCCCAAGAGTTGACGGCCGCCGAGGAGGAGCAGGAGGAGGAGGACAAGGAGGTTGGTGTCGTGTCCTCCCATCACGTGAGGACTGGTCTGGTACCGCTAAGAGAGTAGGCCGCACTGCGGGGAGCGCGTTTTTCGGTCAGTGCAATTTGCTATGGCATTACGTTGCCATGGCCATAGCCGTGCATTTCAATGGTTTGCGCTTGCTTCGTTTAGAACCGGGATAGCATTCTGCTTGTCTATGGCTCTCGCGCGTTTCAAGCACTGTATTCTGCCACGGAAGGGCGCTTTAAACCTATTCCGCATCGTCATGCTGCGCCATTATCTGATGTCGCGAGCGATCGGCAGAAAATGGCGGCCGAGCTGGAGAAGGAGATCGGGGCGCTGCACGTGTCAGACGGAGCGCCCAAAGTCGAAATCTGCCCGCCATCACCAAACGCTGGTGACAAAAACAACTGGTGAGTTATCGGCTCCCGTATCGACGTGTTCGGCTCCGGGGGCTGCTGACCCGGGATTAAGCGGCGCCGCTCACGTCAGCACACAGGTCTGGCGTGCCGACGTCGCGTCCAGGAAGAGCGTGGGTTTTGGCGTGGTTGCGTGTGGGTATGTGTATGTGCGTGCGTGTTTGTGCGTGTTTTCAGGCTGTGCACTGTATGTGCACTAGTATCAAGAAGTACCAGACGGAATTATAGAGTGTGGGACAGAAAGTATGGGAAAATAATAATGCATGGGTATACCACTGTAACTGGACAGACTGCTTACTGTAACTGTAGAAACGATATGCGCTGCAGCCGGGTGGGCAGGTCACTGCACCCGGAACATAGGCTGGTCACTTTAACTGTCTAGATGATCAGTCATTGGAGCCGGAAAAAGCTGGCTCTAGCACCGTAACCGGGCAGCCTGCTCACTGTAACCAGACAGAGCGCGTCCTGTAACTGGATCAGCGGCCGGACAGCCGCGTGCTCTGTCCGACCAGCGCCGATCGCGCCGACTGCTAGCCAGCGCGCAGCGTCTGACCGCCTGCCGCTCCCTCAGCACGGACACCCGACCGTCGCTGTCGGCTATGAAGGGAGACACCGTGGACGAAAGTGAGCAACCGTCGGGGCCCAAGCCGATGCTGCCCTACTCGTCCATGTTCATCCTGTCTCCGACAAACCCGTGAGTGCTGATGCGCCTGGGGACTCATTTGCATGGGGATCGTCACCAGAGAAGTGCGCTGAGTGGTGTTTCCCGTTCTATGGGGCTTACCACGAAGAGCATTGTTCTTTCGTTGGGCATCACATTTTGCTGTCACTTGCTTTCGTATGCGTGTGTGCATTTCCTAGTCGCCCCCGGGCTATGTTGTTCGTGAAACTCTAAGCATGCAGTCTTAGGCGATCCGACAAGTCCTCTCAGATAGATGTTCATGGCGGCTATTGCAACGATGTCGGCTTTGGTCTTGCCAATCAAGTTATTTCGTTAATGGCAGATCCTGGTTAGGACTTCTGAATCAGCTACTTATCCTGCTGCAGGGTGCGGCGTGCTGCCCACTGGGTGGTCAACCTACGCTACTTCGACTTTTTCATCATGTTCGTCATCTCGCTGAGCAGCATCGCTCTGGCGTGCGAAGACCCGGTGGACGAGAAGAGCGACAAAAACAAGATACTCAACATGTTCGACTACGCTTTCACTGGCGTCTTCACGATAGAAATGGTCCTCAAGGTAGGAGCGGGAACAATCTCGGACAACTCCCACCCGTGCTGTGTGGGTGCCGTGAACTTTTCGCTGACTTTGAACAGTCTCCCGGTCGCACCAACCGCCCCGCTCTTCACGAGCCGTGCTGCCACGCCCACACGGCCGTGACCGATCGACCTCGGACGTGCCGAGACGCACTGGTGCACCGCCCTCCCCGCGTCCTGGCCGGCAGATCGTAAACCAGGGCATCATCCTGCACCGTGGGTCTTACCTGCGCGACTTCTGGAACTTCATGGACGCCGTGGTGGTGGTGTGTGCCGTTATCCAAGCCGCATTCGACATGACGTCAGTTGGACCTTCGTAGTCGGATGTGCCGCCCGCCTGGCGTAGGCAGGTGTCGTAGTCAGGCGTGTCGCTCCCAACTGGTAGGCGCGGTGTCGTAGTCAGGACGAGTCGCGCTCGCCCTGTAGGCAGAACCGGCGCGCGTTGGCCGCGCTGGCGCTGGCGCCGACGCTGCCGAGCTCGCCCGAGCAGCAGCTCCTCGTTCAGACCCTTTAGAGTACGAGATGTACGTTCGCCACCAGGCAGACGCGTTTCCTGGACCCTTTAGAGCGGTTTTTGTCCTGCCCTGGACTTCAGCGATGTGGTTGCTGAGGCTGTGAATGGATCGTTTAAAGTAAGCGTCACGGTCACGCGGTCCAAGATGAGGCGTAGCGAGCTGTCTCTGTATCACGCGGTCCAAGATGAGGCGTAGCGAGCTGCCTCTGTATATTTCTGGTGAGAGATATTAACGGCGCCATGTGAGAGTCACCTATAAGGCCGCGAAATTGTCTTTAAGCCACCGCTTTCATTTGAAGGGAAGATATGCGGTAAGCGGTAAGCGCGGCGCTGCGTTCAGTCTCTGGCAGTGCAGGCAATTTTTGGCCGGAGAAGGGATGTGGAATGTTGACAAAGAATTCGAGGATGGTGGTTTAAAAACCTGGCAGGAGCACCGAGACCGACAGGTGCATCAGTAATGGCAATGGACCGCAAGGAGAACATGTAATCAATGCTGGTTCTCCAACGGATAGAATCGGCAGGCTATCAAGATGAGCAGACAGCAGTTATTCCTTGTCTTGTCACTCTTCTGCAGGGAACTGAGCTCATCAAAAAGCTATTTCCTGGAATTATTCGCAGGAGATCCTATCATCTTTAATCTTCATTGAAAATGCTCGTTTCCTCAGTCATATTTTATCCTCCTTTTGCCGACTGTTCAGTCTAAACGCTGTAAAATTTCTGAGAAAGCTTTTGGTTTGGCATGGATGCTGTGGAGGGCAGTATGATGTCACGGGGCCCGTTTTAAAGAGAGAGGTCCACATTTATATGGGGTTATCAACTGAAATAACCACCTTGAAGACCTTTCGGTGCTGCTCACAATCCTGCCCTTCAGAAGACCTAAACCCCTCTAGTTTTCTAGCCACACACCTGCGAAAATAAAGAGAGTATTTCGGGAAGAGTATTTTAAAGTCAACTTAGCATTCATGACACCACACTTATGCCATTCAGATTCTGCCATTCCATAAGCCGCACGGCGATCAAGGCCAAGAAAAATGTAATTATCAAGGCGTTCATATCTGGCGTCCGTGAGTACGATTTTCTGATACAATGGCCGTCAATTCGCTCTCAATGAATGTTGTGCAAGGTACGATGGCATATCAAACCATGACGCCTTGAGGAGCATGGTTACCAAACGGAGAAATGTGCTGTCTAGAGCAGTCTTTTTCACTTAAAACATATTTTAATAGTTGTAAGTGAGCTTGATTCATCATATCAGATGCTTGCTTCAATATTTTCACACGTGAAACATTCCCTTTAAGATGTTCGGTTGAAACAACATTAAATGTTAGCGTGTGAAAAATTGAAAAAAAAACAGCAGTAACATCGACTGTGCGCATCATTAACAATATCCGAAATCACAGCAGAGGTTCAACGATGAGGTCATATTAATAACTTTGATATCTCAAATGATGGCAGTGTGGCAGCAGGAAAAACGACCTGTTCTGTTCCTTGAACATATGGACCGCGTCTGATGGAGGCCATCTGACTTGGATTCTGACCGCGTCTCATGGAGGCCATCTGACTTGGATTTCTGCCTAATCGGTCTGGTAACGGTCTCGATAAACGCTGTTCAGCGTTGCCCCTCTGCCGTGTACGGTCTGTCGTTCAGGTAGCCTAGAACCGCTGACGGACCATTTTTCAGAGTGCCCCGTGCTGTTGATGTCTAGCGTTGATCTAATGCCCACTCTGTGTTTCAGAGTCGAGCAGTCAATGTCTTCCGTGTGTCAGAGTCGGCGTATGCCTAGTTATACGTGTGTGCGGTAGTATTCCCCGTCAGCGTTCGTTCCCATTGGTAGTTCCTGGGACAGGTTTTGTTGCGCGCATCTCTAGACCACGGCATAGGACCATGGGGGCACGCGCAATGCAAAGTCCGTTTCCTGCCACTCATAGTGGCACCACGGGCTTTAGATGACACCCCCATTGTCCTTGCGTTTAGTGATGAGCGGTTTGAATGGTCTTGGTGCTTTTGACCTATTTACCGCTCAGCCATGGACGCCTTAACTAGCTGCTGCTTTGTTTTCCCTTTAGGTGATAGACATGGGTCTTATACTCCATCCCGGTTCCTACCTACGAGAAGTATGGAACGTAATGGATGCCACCGTTGTAATTTGCGCCTTGGTTTCCTTTATTTTTGACCTAACGTGAGTGCTGAGGCCTTGCTTAAGGCTCGTTTACAGTATCTTGGTTGTTGTCTATTCGTCTGTTATTGATATTTGGCAGCGTTGGTAGTACTCACCACTTAAATAGGAATGTTTGATGTTAGCGTTGTGCCGACTCTTGCAGTTACTGCGACATTTCACCACTGCTTGATGTACCAGCTGCAGGCACTGCCGGCTTTGAAATTTGAATGCGCGCATTGAGCGTGGACTAAGCATTTAGACATGCTTGGTGCTAAACTTAAGATGTTTTCCAAAACAGGACTACCTATTGGTTTGGCCAACCGTTTCATGTTGCAAATTGCAAGGAGACGGCATAACATCGATGGTTAGCCTATGCAATAGCGTAGTAAATTTGTTGCTCAGCATCGTTTGTTTCGCCATACTAGAACCTACATCCCCACACCTGCCTGACGCAAGTGACGACGACTGATGGCAAAAACGAGGCTGGGTTTCCCTTGTAAATGTGACAATGACCCGGGCGAATTTAGGTAACGTAAGACAATGCCACGTGACCTCACGAATGCTCAAAGGGTCACACGAGAAGGCTTTTTGCCGACCAATCAAGTTCTTCAGATACTTGTCCAACTTTGCTATGCTTGAAGTAAACTATATCAACTTGATCATGGCATAATTTCATTACACCAACGATAAACCTTCACACATTTTTCGAGGAGTGCTGAGAAAGCATAACAATTACACGCATCTTAGTTCATCAACTCTCTTTATAACTGAATGACGTACAAGTCGAAATTTGCGATGAACTTGAACTATTTTCGGCTCATATGCTTGCATCGTTAAGTAATAAACACAGTTGTGTGTCGTCCTAGGGCTGTTACACGCGACATATACAACAGTGTTTTCCGTCCCATTTCATCCATTTATTTTCTCCCTCTCCCTCTTTCTCTCGCTCTCTCTCTCTCTCTCTCACTCTCTCTCCCTCTCTCTCTCTCTCCCTCTCTCTCTCTCTTTCCCTCTCTCTCTTCCTCTCTCTCGCTCTCTGTTTCTCTATCTCTATCTCTCTCTCACTCCCCCCATTTATTTCGTGATCGGACTCCTCACTTACGCCTTAGAGATATATGTGTTATTTGTGATCTCCAGCGGAATTCTTGTGCATTCGGGGCACCATCCAGCTTCGGTTCCCATACTTTTCCACTGACGTAGTGTCGTGTTTTCGTTGCAGGTGGTAGATCTAGGAGTAGTGTTGCATCCCGGGTCCTATTGTAGAGATCTGTGGAACATACTAGACGCCATCGTTGTCATATGTGCGCTCGTAGCCTTCGCATTTGGGTGAGTCCTGCCTCGACCAGCTTCGACTTTAGTTTTATCCTGCCTGTTTTGGGATACAGCTTTGGACAGCACCATCGCACAATGATGCATGCTCATGTTTATGTTATGCTGTCTTTGTGTTTGACCTTAAACGTCGTGGTTAAGTCCTTGCAAGCTCATGCAAATAGGCCAATAAAGCGACGACAGGTTTTTAAGTGGTAAAATCAGCCTATTTGCTTGCATTTCTGGATACGTCTTGTCATGGATGCATTAATTTGTCAAAGCCAATTTCATGATTTTTGCCAGCATTCTGGAAACAACTTTGATCAAGCCGGGAACAAAAGCACTGAGATCAAGGGCGTAGTCTCGTCAAATGAGTTGGTGGTGCCGAACAGTGAAAAATGTCCCCATCTGTTCCCAAAATATGCCAATGAACAGGTTTCTCCCCTGGTTCTGCTGACTTTTTTTCCCAAAATTGGGGAGAGGGCTGAAGCACTAGTTGGGGATGAAGCCTTTGCCCTCCCTCTCCCCCAAATGAATAGGGAACTACACCCCTGACTGAGCTTGTTGCTTTTGAACGCCTTGATGATTTTTACGTTACTTGTTTGTGATGATTAACAGCTTAACACCATCAACGTCATGAGCCAGGCTAAAAGAATATACGGTCAGCGTCTATGCTCTCATGCGTTTTACAACAGTATTTCGCTTACCTGTCATTAAGGCGGTAAGGTCACCTTCACAATGGGAAAATAAATGTGTATGCTAGACGGCTGCTACTGCCACGAGGCATATCGGATGGCACAACATATTGTGGGTCATGGGCGGTGTAAGTTTCGTTTGACCCCAATTATTTTTAACAAACATTTCGGCACGAGGGCAGCGGTCGAGTTAACAAATATTTGTGAAACCCGTAGTAGGATGAAATGCATACTGTTCCGATGTCGGAAAGAGATTTCACACACGTTTGCATCGTCCACTGACCAAGGGTGGTGATATCAAGAGTTATAACAGAATTGTACCACCCGGGCATTCCACTATTGAAAAACTCATATACACACGCAATTTTGTCAGTGAATTTGAATCCCCCATGCACGATCTGGGAAATGTCCTGGCCTGTTGCGAAAGATTGAATACAAAGGCTCGACGGCAACCAATTACCATCGCTCTTGCCGCTTCGCGCTGAGAAGTGCCAGCTTTATTGACTCTGGAACCAATTTTTCCAACCAGGTCTGCAATATATACTATTATTATGTTGCACCATTTCGACGCGCTTCATCATAGCTTGGCTTTTCGTACCATCTGATCTGTTTACTTTGTTCCAGCATTCTATATTTTTCATAGATGTTATTGATAATTTAGCACTGAGAATATTCCCCATGCGTTGTGTTTGCACGCATGTGGTGCATGTCATATGGTGTCGTTAGTCAGACATTGTCTGGGATCGTCAGCATTTTCCTTGACTTCATTGTGTGATGATCAAGTCCTATAACAGAAGCTTTTGAAGGCTTCAACCAAGATGCTCATACCCCAGCATTAAATACTATTAATATTTCGTTTGACAGTGCATTTAACGGTCAAACGGTTGCCGCGGTTCCACCGCCATGCTTTCTTCCACAATATGACTTCACACGTTCCCGCCAAGAGACGCCAGTCTGGCTGAGACCTCAGCGCTGGGTTGCGTCATCGATTGCAGGGGAAGCTCTACCGGTCAGGATCTCTCTACCATCAAGTCGCTGCGAGTGCTCCGAGTATTGCGGCCACTGAAAACCATCAAGCGCGTGCCGAAACTGAAGGCGGTGTTTGACTGTGTGGTCAACTCGCTGAAGAACGTGGTCAATATTTTGATAGTGTATTTGCTGTTCCAATTCATCTTCGCTGTGATAGCAGTCCAACTATTCAACGGAAAGTTCTTCTACTGCACCGACGAGAGCAAGGTGTTGCCTGGAGAATGCCAGTGAGTATCGTCTGGGCTCGTCAAGATGCATGCAGAAGCCGGCTGTGACATTGCGTGCCTGTTGTTCTAATCAGATCGCCGCTTTCAATCATTTGAAGTCCGTCGGTTGAGTGCTACATGGCTGTGTAACACTGAATAATGTTAACATGTCAGTGATGATGTTGACTTAATGGAAAGGACTCTGCAGTCTGAACTCTTCATGCATGGCCGACTGCGATAACCGGGGCGGCATTCATTGATGTGGAAAGAAATGACCTTAAGATGTTTTTTCAGACAGGCTTACATGGTAGTTACCAGTACACTGGTATCGCTAACTGGGGATGCTGAACTGGTGTATCGATTAGTATCGGCCTTCATCAGACGGCCAATGAAATTTCGTGCAGTCATCTGAACGCTTCCGGGAACAAAATACTGGACATTTGTACCACAGTTGTACATGATTTTGCGTAGAGTTGACGACACGGTCCCTAACAACATGTGTTTGTGTTCTCAGAGGGGAATATTTCGTGTACACTGACGACAAGCAGCCCCCGGAGGTGCGACAGAGGGTGTGGAGGCAGCAGGACTTCCATTACGATGACGTCATGATGGCCATGCTGACGCTCTTCGCTGTGCAGACTGGGGAGGGCTGGCCAACGTAAGCCAAACAGTCGACCGTCGCGGAGCCACAGAGCCGAGAGCTCTATGCTTCGGACGGATGTTCTACCCGTCACACGTGCGGATGCTTAAATGGTTGCCGGCAGAGCTATAGATATATCATACCTTTGGATCAGAAACGGCCACGTCCAGAGTGTGTTGGGCCAAGGAGTGGCATTGTGTATTGCGTTAAACTTAACTCACATCTATAAACGACCGGAGTATGGCTTAACGACGGCCTCTTCGACGCAAGCAAATGAATCATTGATTTCGGCTGATGAACGTGTGCCTTTTACAATAGAGAACCATCGGATTGGGTTGCTCGTAACTCGCCCGGTTTACCTTATTTTGTCCCGTTTGCTGGCAAGTCTATACCATTTTCCAGATGATGCTTTTCTTCCGATTACACATGTCTACTACTAATTTAACAGGGGTGTTCCCGATCTGGCGGCATTAGACATATATGGCCATAGCTGTCGCGCAGGCCACCGCGTGCGTTTTACAGAGCGTGATAGCGATTGGCTGCGCTATTTGTGGTTTGTGGGTGAGGGATGAAAGGAACCAATCATAAACATCGGGGACCCTGGTCCGGTCGGCCGGGAAGAGGCTGACTACTGAAGCACTCTATACACCCCAGGCGTACTGAACTTATAGCTCGGATAAATAGGACCGCTGCGACTTCGTGCTTCGCTCGTAGTGGTCTAGTCCTACGGATTTCATTTAATGGCATATTGAGATGAACGGGGCGTCAACATGAAATGCATAGGCTTGAACGAATTGCTGTTCCCATCGGTTGTGTTTGCGTGTTGAGCTTTTTGTCTTAAAGCTTACCCAGCTGGCCCACACCTGACGACATTGGATCTGTCTGGGTGGTCGGCAGGGTTCTTCAAAACTCAATGGCAGCCACATCAGAAGATAACGGGCCAAAGCCCCACTACAGGATCGAGATGTCCATTTTCTACATAGTCTACTTCATTGTTTTCCCCTTCTTCTTTGTCAACATCTTCGTGGCGCTCATCATCATCACCTTCCAAGAGCAGGGAGAGGCAGAGCTGCAGGACGGAGAGCTGGACAAGAATCAGGTACCAATTTAGAGATGGGCCGCCGCGTTTCCCGCGAATGACAGAGCAGCACCATCCCGCTGTGCCCCCGGGACGGTACATCCAGTCCCATTTCTCTCTGATCCCGGAGCGGCGGGCCTATCCCCATCTCCCTCTGTTCCCGGGACGGCGGACCCAGTCCCATTTCCCTCTGTTCCTGGGACGGCGTGGCCAGTTCCATTGTCTTCTAGGGAAGGCTTCTTATCGAATACGTTTATCCCGGGAGTGAGATGAGTCTCGAAAAGCGGGAACACGGCTGGGCTCGAGATCCGGGGACGAGCTCGACATGAAGAGTCTGTAACCAGGCGATGAGCACGGCTGGGCTCGAGATCCGGACACAGTTCGTCATGAAGAGTCTGGAACCAGGCGATGAATACGGCTGGGCTCGAGATCCGGAGACGGCTCGTTATGAAGAGTCTGGGACCAGGGGATTTGAGACAGTTTGGAAAAATATTTGATGCCTACGGCTAGCTTCTGTCGATCAGCCCCGCCAACGTTCAGTGGTCATTTGTTTCCGGATTTTTCCTGAACCTGGGCTTCGATGGGAAACTTAAGCCGTGGAACGAGCGTTGCCCGTTCGTCTCTGGCACTTTCCATGCACTGAAAATGGTATGACCGGTTGGGTCGGGCTGGTCGCCAAGTGCAAAGCTGTGAAATCAACGTATCGCAATATCTTGTTTGAACGAAAAAAAACGTAACGATATGATAATTGCATGTGATTACGTCTATTGCAGTACGTGATTTCCCTCCTCAGAAATCCTGTATCGACTTCGTCATTCAAGCACGACCTCTGGAGAGGTACATGCCAAAGGACAGAAAAAGCTGCAAATATAAGATGTGGCGGATCGTCGTCTCCACGCCCTTTGAATACTTTATTATGGCTTTGATTGTTTTGAACACCCTCCTCTTGATGGTGAAGGTAAGTGAAACGATGACACTATTATGGTCTGCAAAGGATGGCGTGATTTTTATCGGAGTGTAGTTGTTTCGGACACTGAGCTAAGCTTTCCCCTCCAAATTGCCGAGTGTTGCTGTGCGTGCTGCGTGACTTATAAAGGCATCTGCCGGACAAGCCTATTCAAATGGGTGGTTTTTGCGGCTCAAAAAGTAATTTGCTACACAATTTGTTTTCGCAATCAGTAGCTCTGATCGTACGTTGCTAGGGATTTTTGTTCCGTTGTCTCCGTGTGACTCAGGGTGCATTCTTCGAAACCATTATCGAAGTGTAACTATGCACATGTCCTAGCTAACATTCGTATACTTCTATGTACATTTGTGTGTGTATGTGTGTCTGTGTGTGTGACGCGCGCGCGTGTGCGTGTGTGTCATGTTTGAGTGCCCGAAACCCGCAATATGTGTATGTCTCTAACCGCCAACTGAGGCCCACTTCCCCACAATTGTCTTTGCGATGCGTATCCAAATGATGGTGGGGGTCAGGTGTGGCTTGGTTTTTGGCTTGCACTGAGGAATGTCGCGCTTAACTCAATGCCAAGCATTGCCAATCTCACCACGATTGTCGTTCGCACCGGACCGGCATCTTGCTCCGCATGGCTGCAATGCTGGAATGCGTGTCGCAGCATGAAACAGCGCCGCTGGATGGCATGCGATAGTCAATCGACCAACCGCCATAGCATGTCGCGGGTTCCGCCATTGATGATGCACTGTGCACTGCACTGAGCGCACGTTCTGTTTTCCAATCACAATGTGCTCGGAGTTAAAACACTTGACGTGATAGACAGCATCGCAATATGCTCCTTACTCTAGAGATCGCATTTATATGATCGTGGAACACCCGCCTATTATCACAGTACCGTACAACCTTCCTGGCGTTTGCTTTGAAACGCAGCGACGCATGTTGAGAAACACGTATAGAATAGCTACACAAATATGATGTGTGCCGCAACTGTGTCAACTACTTCCCTTTCACTCCTGAATGCCTGGTTTGGGATCGGGCGGCGCACAAACCTGCATGTGAATTAGCGAGACGAGTGCCGCATGGGTGCATGTGGTGGGCACGTATTGGTTGTTTCGCTGTTGCAACTCTGGCGATGATCTGGAGCACTTGGCGCATCCATGGGTGCCACTAAGCTATGAATGTGGCATGCTGGCAATGTGGCTTGTTTGGCAGTAATCGTTCGCGTCATATCCCCTCAATTAGGCATGGGCATCTAACGGTCTGGCGTTGTAACAGCAGACCTTTGATATTCACGTTCGCAACCGAGGAGTGATATGTGATAATATTTACTCTTGAGGCCTTTTGTCAGACAATACACATATATAACTGCAGGTCAAGCACACTTATATGCTTTGGACCGCCCATAATGTCCCAGAGAATGGCTTTCTGCTCTCTATTGGCATGCAGCGCCGCATGCCAGTGGATTGAGCCGGCTCGTGCTACTCTTCAGATACTAGCATTCCGTGGTGACGTGGTCTTTTGACGTGTCACGGTGACACGGCTCGTGTGTCACGGTGTCACGACCTGACATGCCACGGTGATGTGTGTTGATGTGTCATGGCGGCATGGTGATGTACTTCTGTACTATCTGCAGATCTGTCTGCATACTCATATACACCAAGCATACATCACCCAACATGCATACGCTTGTACATACGACTAGACAAACTTTATGTCAAGACATGCATTACATGCCTGCAGCCTTTCCTTTCCATAAAGTCGATGCAAACAATTTTTCACATGTTTGTCTTTGTTGCCGATAAACTGACCGGGTTTTTAATGGATTTTCGCTGCCTCGTTTTTGTGTAATTCTTTCAACACGTATCGTAGTTTTCGTTTGTTTGCCGACATGAAATGTCGAAGTGCATAGTCAAGTTTGCGTAAGTGCATAATGTGCATCACTTTCACACATGTTGGTTCTTTTTCAGTAATCTTATTCACTTTTTGTTTTCGAAAGTTTGTCAAATAACATAACGTTAGCAAGCTAGTTTTGTTCAAACAGACGAGGCTTCGAATCCTTTCCTTCCTGCTGACACACTCTTGTTTTCCCTAGAATCAGCTGTACAGTTCCAGTCTGATGAATGTTTTGCAAGGGCTGCAGATTTGGCGAAGGGAAGCCATGACACGGTTGTCCCTTTGCCAAGTTGCACAGTGTCATGCTGCGATTCATAGTCAATTCAGACGTAAACCGCTGGCTTCTTACTTTTCACTCGCTGCTTGAACTGCGAAGTGCATTCTCGCAACGCCGCCGTTTGCGCCCATTGACTACGGAGACGCCGTCGGACACGTTTCTGGCATTGCCTGATCCTGTTGCATTTAGCCCATCATGCTTGTTTCTGCATCATTGTTGACAGTTGTGTCTGTTTTTTGGTCCAGAACTACCCCCAAAACGAAACCGAGAAGGCTATCCTGCAAAAACTGAATAATGTCTTCACCTCGCTGTTTGCCATAGAGTGTGCTCTCAAGGTGACGGCCGTTGGAATCAGGGTAAGACAGTGGGCGGCTTTACATTAGAGCTAGCTACAGTCTAGCCGTTTCCGTTGGTCGGTGATGGTTTATTTTCCTTTGTTGGTTAGATGTTTGGTTCTCTATTTGAACACCCCCTCTCAGATCCTGTCCTAGCTCCTCAGTTTGATGGGTTTTCTTTCATGCGTAGTGGCCAACGGTGAGCCCGTCGCGTAGCCATAGTTGACATACCGAAAGGGCGGATCTAGGCTTTCAGTGGGACGGCCATGACGTACGCCAAATTGTCCACCAGCCAGCGGAGAATCTGCGGCCGGCGAAAAATATAGCCCACCTGGCCATCACCAGCCACATCGGACGTCTTGCCACAGACCAGCGCACTGCCAGAATCAGACCCTGCTCGATGCTGTCGTTACATTCCGAAGGGACTGATGCTGGACATCGCCTGGATCCGCCTACGAATCCGACGCATGTACCTTTTGTTCGGTTTGGCTGCCGCGTAGAGCGCCATGCAGCAGTCCCGCCGTCCCAGCCGCTCCGACCATTCAGACCAGCACGGCAGCCCCGTCCCAACCGCTCCGACCATTCAGACCAGCACGGCAGCCCCGTCCAGCCGCTCCGATCCATTCAGACCAGCACGACAGCCCCGTCCCAACCGCTCCGACCATTCAGACCAGCACGACAGCCCCGTCCAGCCGCTCCGACCATTCAGACCAGCACGACAGCCCCGTCCCAACCGCTCCGACCATTCAGACCAGCACGGCAGCCCCGTCCCAACCGCTCCGACCATTCAGACCAGCACGGCAGCCCCGTCCCAACCGCTCCGACCATTCAGACCAGCACGGACAGCCCCGTCCCAACCGCTCCGACCATTCAGACCAGCACGACAGCCCCGTCCCAACCGCTCCGACCATTCAGACCAGCACGACAGCCCCGTCCCAACCGCTCCGACCATTCAGACCAGCACGGCAGCCCCGTCCCAACCGCTCCGACCATTCAGACCAGCACGGCAGCCCCGTCCAGCCGCTCCGATCATTCAGACCAGCACGACAGCCCCGTCCCAACCGCTCCGACCATTCAGACCAGCACGACAGCCCCGTCCCAACCGCTCCGACCATTCAGACCAGCACGGCAGCCCCGTCCCAACCGCTCCGACCATTCAGACCAGCACGGCAGCCCCGTCCAGCCGCTCCGACCATTCAGACCAGCACGACAGCCCCGTCCCAACCGCTCCGACCATTCAGACCAGCACGGCAGCCCCGTCCAGCCGCTCCGACCATTCAGACCAGCACGGCAGCCCCGTCCCAACCGCTCCGACCATTCAGACCAGCACGGCAGCCCCGTCCCAACCGCTCCGACCATTCAGACCAGCACGACAGCCCCGTCCAGCCGCTCCGACCATTCAGACCAGCACGACAGCCCCGTCCAGCCGCTCCGACCATTCAGACCAGCACGGCAGCCTCGTCCAGCCGCCCCGACCACGAGGTGCCGTGGCATGTGCATGCTGTCTGAGGGGAACCGTGCGCTGGGCGTGGCAAGGGCTCAAGCTGCAGTCGAGTCGAACTCCCCCAGCCAAAGCATGTCACGACGCCCCCCGAGCCGGCAGCCGTCTCGAACGTCCCCGCCCCCGTCTGCCTGGGGTTTGCGCATGCGCGGTGGCGCTCCCCGGCCCCGGTTCGCGCACGCCCCCAGTTGGTGCACGCGGCTGGTGCACCAGCGGCCTGAGGTGGTCCGGCCGGCCACCGCGGCATTCGTGGCGCATCGTGTGCATCGTGGCCATGGCTGGCGGCTGATGGAAGCACGGCTGCCGCACGCAGCGCGGCACGGCATGCCTCAAGCCACACCGAAACCCTACAGGAGAGGCGGGCGGGCGCAGGGGGCGGCTCACCTCTAATCGAACTGTTATGTCCTTCCCATAGCATGATGGCGCCAACGTCGCGTTTCTGGATATGCTCATCTATTTCAACCACATATTCACCCTCCTGTTTACTATGGAGTGTACCATAAAGATCATGGCCTATGGAATTCGGGTAAGAAGCCAAACTGCACTTTTCACAACACTCGTCGCGTAAACAGATGGCACCGCAGTGTATCCTTCGATGTTTATATACTTTAAGTGACCCGAATGCTGACCCAGTGATTTATGCATTTCCCTTGAGCCCTACGCGAAATAGAGTCTCATGGTGTCTTTAAACATGACTTGCTTCTTTCTTAGCTGTGTCGGAGACATTTCTTAGTAACGGTATGCCTGTCGTTATTTTGTGTTATCTGATTATGGTACCACTTGTACTCGGCTACGCTTTATTTGATTTGCCACACTGAAGTGGGTTCTGGTGAATGGTATGCATGCCTTTTTTAAGAAAAATTTGAATTTTTGGGAATGGACTGTGCTGTTGGCCACAGCTTCACTATAATGCGGTTTCCTTTGCCGGACATGATTTCACGTAAGGATGACAGGTTCAGTGTCTTGAACATGCATTATTGGCACATATAAACTGAGTTTTCTCGGCTGAAATGTATGTTAAGTTGTAACTTCACTGTTTTAAATTCGTGCGTTTACTACACACTCTTTACCCCAGTGATGGAAATAGATTTCTCACGCTAGTGTGTATCTATAGGTGTTCATTTGTCACGATTTCCGCGAATTGTAAATCATCATGATTCGTGGCAGAAAAAAGCGATACTGAAAATTTGGACTTTGTCAACTTGGTAACTTGGTCTTGGTCTAAAGGCCAAAACTAAAAACTTGGTCTTAAGTCTGCTGTCAACTTTTATGATAATGTTTGTGTTTGTGCGTATGCTTGCAAGCCCTTAATATCCTGTAGTTACTAATGAACACAAAACTTAGTGTTAAAAACGGCAGTCGCAGGGCAGCTGCGAAGAGCCGATTGACGTTTTGCGGTGCAACAGCGATGTAGGCGGAATTTGACCGATCGGAGCGGACATAAAGCTTGCCTGTGGCTTCAAAATTCGCCAAATTTCGGTTGCTTGATTTCCAGATGCACAATGTACAATGTTTGCGATCAGATGGGCCATTCCAGGGCACTCCTGCTGCTTAAAGGTATCGGGTACATTGTTTTCCCCCAAGCCCCGGCGGTACGCCGCTCAGATCCTTTTGAAGGCATCGGATACATTGTTGTCCCCCAAGCCCCGGCGGTACGCCACTCAGATCCTTTTGAAGGCATCGGATACATTGTTGTCCCCCAAGCCCCGGCGGTACGCCACTCAGATCCTTTTGAAGGCATCGGATACATTGTTGTCCCCCAAGCCCCGGCGGTACGCCGCTCAGATCCTTTGAAGGCATCGGATACATTGTTGTCCCCCAAGCCCCGGCGGTACGCCACTCAGATCCTTTTGAAGGCATCGGATACATTGTTGTAAGCCCCGGCGGTACGCCACTCAGATCCTTTTGAAGGCATCGGATACATTGTTGTCCCCCAAGCTTCGGTGGTACGCCACTCAGATCCTCTTGATCCGATCAGAGGGGCAGCTTTGATACCTGACGTCGTAAGCTTTCTGATGGCTGAGACGGCAAAACACACTTATTTTGCATCTGTTTAGTCCAGGAAGGGTGGGGCCCCGCCGCTCCCGCCCAACACACGCACCAAGATCCCCAGCCCTGGTCCTTGCACACGCGGCTAGTCGTAGCCGTAGTGTGCTGACGCCAAGCTGGCTCCATGCGCTGGCGCCAAGCTGCCGGCCCGACGCCGGCGCCAAAGACACTGCGTCCGCCAGCGCCTGGTCCACCGAAGAGCGGCCTCTAGCGACTTCAGTGTGGCAGCGTCGTCTGCCCACGGCGGTCCGTCGCTGCCGGGCTGCTAATGGGCCACCTAATGAGCCACCTGAACATGGCCAATGAGCGAAATCGCGCCCACCCGGGGCTGCAGGTAGCCCTCTGGGGAGGAGCAGCGCAGCTTACACTGATCCTCCACCGATCAGCTGACGCTGTTTGCTGGGAAAGGACAGCACAATGATCTGGCAGCGGCAGTGACGAGGGGATCTGGCAGTTTCAAAAACCCTTGACCGGCGGCACAGAACCTAGGTGTCGGTTAAGCCCGTCGGTCCCTGGCTGTCCATTGGAGCTCGTGGTAATAACCAGGGCCTTAGTAGCACCAAAGGATCATTGGCTGGTCACAGGCACTCCTGAAAAGCCCAGAATAACATGACCACTCCAATGCGTCATTCACCAGTGACGAAGCGCTTTGCCGGTTGTGGAGTGGGACTTGGTGGTCTCGGTGGGTAGTTGTTATCAGACACCATTCATTGTTTTTTTCTCGTCTCACGGTTACTGGGCTTTAGTGCATACGATCAGAATCAGGTACGCCACGCGCTCTGTTGTATAAGTCTGAATTTGCTCTGTCACGACCTGTCTAACCTGTAATGGTCTTCTTGGCGGGTACTGTCAACTTCCGGAGCCGGGACTTGCCAGCCATGCCCGGCCCCCTGGCAGTCTGGAACCCTTGGCGCCAGTTACGCCCGGCCCCCTGGCAGTCTGGAACCCTTGGCCATCCACGCCCGGCCCCCTGGCAGTCTGGAACCCTTGGCGCCAGTTACGCCCGGCCCCCTGGCAGTCCGGAACTCTTGGCCAGCCACGCCCGGCCCCCTGGCAGTCTGGCACCCTTGGCGCCAGTTACGCCCGGCCCCCTGGCAGTCCGGAACTCTTGGCCAGCCACGCCCGGTCCCCTGGCGGTTTGGAACTCGTCGCCAGTTGCGCCCGGTCCCCTGGCAATCTAGAACCAACCTTTGGCCAATTACGCCCGGTCCCCTGGCAGTCCGGAACCCCTGGCCAGTCACGCCCAGCCCCCTGGCACTCCGGAACCCTTGGCCAGTTGAAGAGTGTCCCTGATTATCTTAAAACCTCTGGTAGTCACAACGTCCACGTTTCGAACACAATCACGGACTAGCTCATAAAACACGATTTGGGAAAAACGCTGTGGTTTATTATAAATTATTATTATTCTGCAAATATGATGCGCTTTTTTCATCATGCGTTAATGTCATTGCGAGATCTTTGCGTGTAAAATATCCATATGGCTTCAAAAGTCGTATCATAAGCGCAAATATTCTGTTCTGTTATATTTGCACTATTATGATCCTCGCATAGAATGCGGGCATTGGGCGCTTTCAATATAGGTGACGTGTGCATGACGTCAATGTCTGCATGACCAATCAGAGCGCGCTTGCGTGGTCCTGTGATGGCTGACAATCCTGTGTGTCTCCCGGGCGCAGAACTTCTTCAAGGACCGCTGGAACACGTTTGACTTTATCACGGTGATAGGGTCCATCGTAGACGCCATCTTCATGGAGCTAGCGGTGAGTCCTTCAGGCCGTGACAAACAGTATTCTCTGTTGAGGATTCGGCAAGCTGTACGGACTGCGAACAACGCTATTGTTTAAAAGAAACGATCACTTGCGATAGACAGCCTGCAGCATTGTATGTGTAAGAGCGTGATATTCCATTTCGTGCCATACGTATATTTTAATGGATAGTTGGTGCAGCTGTAACTCATCAAGGCGATACCGGCAGTCGCTGGCGCTCCATAGGTGGATATGCGACGACGTGCTCTGCGTTTTCTTTATTAAGAGTTGTTTTTGGTGCCGGCGCTTTTCATAGTAAGCGTGCTAAGGTATTTGGTTTGATATTTAGCGTCCCAAATCACAATCTGGTGGCAGACTATACGGACTTGCCTCCCAAATAACCTTTAATTATTTGGCTTCATTAATAGAGAAACAGGCAGCTGACCATGAGAGGGTCAGACCAGCACGGGCAGTTAGTGTCACGATGTCAGACAGGCACGAGCAGTTAGTGTCACGATGTCAGACTGGCACGGGCAATTAGTGTCACGATGTCAGACTGGCACGAGCAGTTAGTGTCACGATGTCAGACTGGCACGGACAGTTAGTGTCACGATGTCAGACTGGCACGGGCAGTTAGTGTCACGTTGTCATACTGGCACGAGCAGTTAGTGTCACGATGTTATGACACGTTGAAATCCGTTGGCCAGAGTTGCCCATTCAACATGCATTGATTATGTGGGTGAGGAGGCGGAATCTCAGGGTCCTCAAACCGATCCATGCACGGGCCCGGATCCCAAAGTCTTCCGTCGAAAACATTCGATTGGATTTCTACGGCGTCCGTTCCTCCACGGGGACCACTGGAGCCCGCCCGGTCCTGTGTCGTCGGCGTATGGCGGCCACTGGTGCAGCCTCGACAGCTGTCGGCAAGCGACGGCGTCTCACCGGTGCACCCGCCTACCGCACTCCAGGTATCCAACTTCTTCAACGTCGGCTTCCTGCGACTGTTCCGGGCGGCTCGCCTGATCAAGCTGCTTCGCCAGGGCTACACAATCCGCATACTGCTGTGGACCTTCGTACAGAGCTTCAAGGTGAGCGTGAGCACGCGCGGTGGCACACGGCTGAGAGAGGACTATTGTGGCCTATCGCAAACAGAGGGCCTGTCGGAACCACACTCGCTTAATGCAGGGAAGGGATATCCTAGTCCAACTCAGGCCAGCGCTTTCCACATAGCTGTTGAACTTAACCGTGCTTGCTAACTGCCCCTCTATAAAATGGCATTGCTTTTGTTGATGGGATCTTTAAAAAAAATACGAGCTCTGAGTGCATATTAAACGTTGTGTACACCGATTATCCGTCAACCAGTGGAGCGCGATTTCAGGAATGGCCGGATGATATTCCATGCACGACTGCGTGCTTTTATTTGCAGGTTGCAGCCGTTTCAAGGCAGAAACTAAAGTCTGCTATATATATATATATATATATATATATATATATATATATATATATATATATATATGTATATATATATTTATATATATACATTTATTTTTCGGTTGTTTGGTAAATCTCGTTTTGTATACAGACTAATGCCGGCTGCCATTATAAAACATAGCGCTTATTTATATGGGTGTATCCACAACATGTCCGTATGATATTGTCGTCCTTTAAAGGGAATGTTCCACACTTAAAGATATTAAAGCCAGCGGCAGACATGGTAAATTAAGCTCACTTATAGCCGTTGGTATACTTTTTAAGTGAAATGGGCTCGTCTAGACAACGCAACTTATTTGTTTAGTAAATCTGTTCCTCAACACGTCATTGTTCTTTTGTTTGATCATGTCATTGTACCTTGCACAACATTAATTAAGAGCCAGTTGACGGCTGCTATACATGAAAATCGTGCTCACGAACGCCAGATATGAATCCGACGATTATATTTTGTTTGGCCTTGATCGCTACATGGCAAAAGGAATGGCCTGATACGAATGGCGTTATGGCGTCGTGGATGCCTGGGATGCCTTGAAGTAGTCTCCCCGAAAAAGTTTGCAAGTCTTTGCGGACGTGTAGCTCAGATGCTAGAAGGCTTGAGGTCTTAAGAAGGAATGGCTGTGAACTGCACCAAATGATGTTCAGGATTGCTATTTCCATTTGAAGCCCCATGCAAAGGTGGAACACTCCCTTTAAGAGAGCCGTCTCCTGCTTGCGATGTTAATTCGAACACCGCTGATTTCGTCACCAATTACTTAAGGGTTTGGCTAGTACCAAGCCATGGTATGTGTTGCTTCGCTTAGCTTTCAATGCAGGTTTTCATTTTTTGTTGACTTGTATGCTAATCTTTGTCTGATGTATTTCAGGCCTTGCCATATGTCTGTCTCCTGATTGCCATGTTGTTCTTCATATACGCGATTATAGGCATGCAGGCAAGTCATTTCTAACTGTCGGTTCCGTTATACGCATTGTTTTAATTTACCGAATGCAAACGGAAAGCCGTGAAGGCGGTGCATCAACTTACGTCTAAAGAAGGCAGTTAACGTGGGCTTTCATCGCCTGTGGTATGTCGGCTCTGTGAGCTTTCATCGCCTGTGGTATGTCTGCTCTCATGTCGAGGGGCTGTCAAACTTTCTTATTTCTGTGACTTAATGCTGCCTTACATGCCTGAGGTGCGTTGTCTTTTATTGATATGCATAGCATATGTTTGCAGAACATATGCGTCACGCCCTGTAATGTATGTGAATAGTGTGCGCGTGTGTGTGGGCATTATGCAACAAAGTAGTATTGTTTGTTAGAGGAAATGTGGATAAGAAAAATAAGTATATTCCCAGCTATGCACGGATTTTTAGCTACAAGTTGTAAGCATTTGAACTTACTTCAACCATCAGCATATGAGTCCACCTTGAGTCGATCCACCCAAGAGCAGAGGAATGCGGGTTGATGATTTCTCTAGGTGATGGGGTAACCAATAGCCTCTCCCAGAGCTTTTCTGTTTTGTTATTAGAGCGTATTTAGACACCTGGTATTTGCCATGTGTCCTGAATTGTAGATGTTTGACGTTTACAATTCCTTATTCCCGATTTTTATCATCCATACTCCCGCTGCGGTGTAATTGGCTTTCTGACCGCCCGACTTCCAGCATATTTTGTAATTATGTTGCGCTTTCCACTGCCGCCTCGATCGGTGTGTGCTGTTTCCTTTGCTCTGTATGTACCTCCCCTCCATCATCTTTAGTTATGCACATCATTTTTATATATTTCAGAATGCTAAAAAACTTGATTGGCTTGATGTACATAGCGTCTTATTTCCCAACATTTATTTATGTTGTATCTCATAATACATCCAAACAGCCGTTTTCACGCGTAAGCCAAGATCTTAATATGGAGTGCCCGCTAAGGAATCAGTGTTCACGGAAAGCAAAAGACCACCATGTGACTGCACGTGACGCGAACTATGAAACTAAATTCCTCAAACGGACCTTTTCCACCACATAGCCGAAAGGAAAGCCATAGCTTTTTTAGCCCTTTTCGGTGCCAAGTCAACGATAACTCCTTGGGATCTGTCGGAGTATTTCAAACGGCTCATCCGCCCTTTCATCGGATACTTTCTTCAAAAACGAAACGCATTACCACTGACCAATCAGTGGTTGAAGTGCATGGTGTAAGCTTGCGCGGCCTGTTCTCCGCCACATTCGTAGTGGCCAAGGAGCCGAAAAGCATTCTGATCGCGCTGCGTTCATGCGTGAGCGATGAGCCAGTGGTAGAAATGCTAGTGGCAGCTGCTTCGCCGCCAACGCATCACAAACACATTATTTCCGATGATCAGTCTGATGTATCTTCGTAATATCTCTTAAAAGGCCTATCGGCATAACTGCCGATAGGTCTAATAACCTCGTAGCTACGCTTCAACCTTCTAAATAAACTGCGTGTGAAGACGGCTAATGTTTTATTTATCTTTGTATTCCTCGGATCATTTCTTCGGTTTCTCCTTAGCACTGCTCTGGAAAAACAATGACCGCATTTCCATTGGCAATGCCGTAGGCAGATCAAGTTGTTTACCCTACGCCGCACTGGATTAAATAAGTCACTTTTTAGGTATTGTAAATGTCTCCGCGTACCCAATACCCATAAAAACAGCTCATCAGCTCGAACCTTGGCCGAATGACTCTGTAATGTCACAGTTATATCGGCCATTTTCAAACCAATCCGACCTCCAGTCGGCTGGAACTGCCTCTGGAAACGTGGTCTTTGTGGTGTGCTGTATATTGATTTCACGGCTTCTGCATGGTGAGCGTCACACGCCGGTTAGCGCTGGCACCTGACATGGCACCTCAGCTGTAGCCACCCGGGACGCCTCGCCGCCGCAGGACTTGCCATCGCTATGACCCGTTGTACCTGATCACTCAGCACTAATAACGCATAGCGGCCAAGTGCTAAAGCTGACCTTTGCTAAAACGCAAGCGGCGGCGACGATCCAGCTGGCTACGCTCGAGCCTGTAGAGTCCGACTGTTTAGTGGATGAGTGGGTGCGTTAGTGGGTGTGGGTGTGGATGTGTTTCACTGAAACTAGTCACTGTTTCCAGCAGGCTGTAGACATTTATATCCGGGTGGCCTATTGAGAATGAGTGCTGGAGCGAGTGAATAAGGGCGTGTGTGTTTGCCACTGTGATTATTTGGAGCTGCCTTTGCACAAATCATGTCTGGTTGCACTTCGTTTTGTTCAGCTCGGAGTCATGTCGCCCGGAGGTTGGCGCCGTCTTCCCGTGCTGGACGGCCTTCAGAGGTTGAAGCACGCCACTCGTTGCTTGCGCCGTGTGTTGCCGCCCGGCCGAGCCGGCGGGCGGCGCCATCCTCCGAGCGCTGCCGCGCACACACATATTCCGTCTTCTGCACTGTTGGCTACGTCACTCCCGTTTCCCGCTCAAGGTGTTCGGAAATATGAAGTTCGATCCCGACACGGATCTGAACAGGCACAACAACTTTCAAAGTTTCTTCGCCTCTGTGTTGTTACTTTTTCGGTGAGTCATTGTGTCTGCCGGCGCCTCGGCGGGCCGCATGCCGCACCGGGCCCCGCCGCCGGCCGCTCCCGCACGCGCCCCGTCGCAGAGTCGCTAGACTAGAGGCGTCGCATGGCCCGCTCTCAGAGCCGACACGTCCCGCTCCTTCTCCCCTTCCCTGCCCCAGCCCGTCTCCACCGCACCGCGGCCGCGACTGCTAAAGATCTTCCGCTCCGACGAGGCCAGTCGTGGCCGCGCCCAGTCGCCTCGTCATGCGAGCGTGGGTGGGCGCCGGTACCGGCGGCGGCCACGGGCGCCCTGTCCACACGGCAGCACAGCTGGCAGCGCTCCGGCAGTAGGGAGAAAACGAAAAATGTCCAATGCCAGGCATCATATATGCGCTGGCATTGTGCTGGCATGGCATATGCTGCTGCCTGGTGTGTCGGGTGTGACTGAGTAAGCTTTGAACTGGTTGATGAGTGCACCTAGGCCGTGTCCGTCTGCGTGTTTTTGTGTGAGTGTGTTCGTCTGGCGTTTGAAGTCGGCCTGAAGGCATTTTTGCGCCTGCAGATGTATGCTCGGGCGCGTGTGCGTGCGAGAGTCAGGTGCGTGAGCGAGTGATGCGAACATGCCCGTATGGCTGGCTCGGGGCGTGTCTTCACATACGACTCCTGAGGTGGAACGCCAACAATTTGTGGAATTTGTATTTTCAGTGTTTCAATTAGGTCAAGATCGCGTCAACATGACCATGAGCACTCCGAGGATCAGGGCAAGTCTTTGCATACCTACGTAAAGCAGCAGTGCCTTGATATCTGTCAATTTTTGCGTCAGAAATAGTATTTTCAATCACATTTCATTGACACACATATTACTAATGAAACCAAGGAGAGCCAACGGACAGCAGCGGCGTCTTCGGAGCTCACCCAGTCTACAGCCAGCACATCCACATATCCCGCATGCCCCGCCGAACCTTGTCAAGTCTACAGTCGCCGCTCCTCCATCTAGGACTAGTTGACCTTAGGCCAGGTACCCCAGGTGTAGGTGATGCAGTGCTGGGTGTGTCGAGTAGGTGGTCGAGTTATCATCATGAGTTGCATTTTGTAAGCTGACCGTGTCTTGATACCTATTTTTGTCCCTTAGGTATTTGGTAACATAGCTTTGGACTCCAAAACTTCCATATCTAGGCACAATAACTTCCGTCACTTCTTTCAAGCGCTAATGTTGCTGTTCAGGTAACTGTATGATTGTGAATACGTGTTGTTGGGTGTGTCTTTCATCTGATCTTTGCCGTTTCTTAAGTTTACACTCATACATTCATCGTTGAACCACCAAGCCAAGCATGTGTTTGCCTTATTTCTGTACTTTACATATTTGCACATTTATATGCATCGCACCAATTTAGATATGCATATACTTTAAGAGGGAACTAACGTGACCACGTGCGTCCAAACGCTGCACCAAAGACAATTGTTGTGCCTTTAAAAAACAATTAAACCACATCACATTTGCAATGTTTGATACACGGCACGGTTCCTTTCAGTTGTTTTGCTTCTTATGTCATTTAAGTTCACATGATATTGAGTTCGGTTTCATTTAATATCATGCCATTGAGACGCTGCTCGAATTTCTGGCTGTGTGGCTAATGATGCTATGCATGCCGTAAAGCGCTAATCTTTCTGGAATATAGAACGTAGAAGTGGCTGCTGCCTGGGTCCACCTTATTTTGCTTCACGGGCTTATTGTAGTTTGAGGCATTTCGTTATTTGTGCTCATCTCATCAATCTATCTGCCATCACTGTTTCAGAGGAATATATTCTGTCAAGTTTATTTACAATTGTATCATGAAGCTCAGTGATAGCTGCCACGAACTGGATCAAATTGTGGTTCCTTTCATTTGAACTTCAGCAACATGTTAAGTCATGCTCACGCGCCTGTAACCCGTTCTATTCATAGATATCTGACGCTTTTATTTTTTGATGTAATGTGCTCCCCTTTGTATGAGCATAAAGATGAAAGTGTTTTCTTGTACGAATAATGCAGCAACATGCATTATTTCACGGGCATTTAGACAGGTTTGCAATTTTCGCAGCGTGCATTCATTGCTCCATTCGTATCCTCGATTTGTGCGGTTATTCGTGTGGTTCCAACCGCAGGCTTTTCGCATATCTTTCTCACACCTTACCGAGCAATACATAAATCCCGTCGCCGAGCATCGCATCCTGGCGTGACGTCACACCGCCGGTGTGACGTCACAATGGCGCCAGGCGGGCGGCAGTGGCGGGAGCGGTGCCGGCACTGATCCTGCCGCTCCCCAGATGCGCTACGGGTGAGGCGTGGCAGAGCATCATGCTGGCCTGCGTCAAGAACAAGCCGTGCGACGAGCGAGCGCTGAGGCCAGGAGAGGAGCGCGTCTGCGGCTCTGACCTGGCCTACGGCTACTTCGTCTCCTTCATTTTCTTCTGCTCGTTCCTGGTGAGACTGCGGCGTGGTCGGAGCCCTGGTCTCGGGAAGACGATGGTGTCGCACTAGCGGAGAACGGCGGAAACAGGCGATGGTGTTCGGTGGGGAGGATTTGGGACTGCTGGGTATCAGCATAGAGCATGCATCACACATGACGGGAAAGTAATCAGTATTCTTAGATGAGTATTGCTACGACGTTTACCATTGATATCAGCTGTAATGCTCTGATGTAAAAATTGGCGTCGGTGCTCATCACAGGACAGCAGCTTGCAGGATTTGCATTGCTGACGATTCAACACGTTCTCCAGATGCTCAACCTGTTCGTGGCCGTCATCATGGACAACTTTGACTACCTGACGCGCGACTCGTCTATCCTGGGCGCCCACCACCTGGACGAGTTCCACCGCATCTGGGCCGAATACGACCCGAACGCCACGTAAGTTCGCCACCGGCTGCCCCAGTTGCTGTGCGCAGAATTGAACGCATTCAACCGCCCGATACAAAAGCGGTGCACGCTCCATCATGCTTGATGGAGCATCGCTTGGGCGCAGTGGCTCGGTGCAAACCATTGTTTGATGCATGCACACTTTTTACATTTCTTGTAAACGCTAGAAATAAAACAGGTGGCCTTCTGCGGACAGACGGACTTTTGTGGAGACAGTGAAGTATCGGGCAGAGACGAGAAGGTTTCTAAATTATATATAGGGTCGATGGAGGCTGGAATTTTTTCATGTTCGAACCTCTGTACGATATTCGCTGACTCGTATGCCTCTCAGTTGCATTCATTTGGGATAGCGAGAGAGGCAGAGACTACCATGCCTTGTAATGCGGGTCAGTATAAACCACCGTGGGCGCAGTGACTGCAATATCGTGTTATGCATACCAAAGACGACGGCTGAACAGCGGCCGAACCGCTCCTGACCAGAGAACCGCAAACCACAGATCAAAACACCTGTTCAGAGCCTGTGTGCAGAAGGCGGCAGATCGGTAGAACTTCGCTCGGTGGCTCTTGAAGTGATGTCTAGCGCTGTGTGTACCGAGCACTGTGTGTACCGAGCGCTGCGATGCGAACTTGGTCCTGACGCACTACTGTGTCGTCATGTTGCATATTGTGCGTGGCAGGGGACGCATCGAGTACACGGAGATGTACGACATGTTGCGGAACATGGAGCCACCGCTGGGCTTCGGCAACAAGTGTCCGTACCGGCTGGCGCACAAGAAGCTGATCCGAATGAACATGCCGATCGGCGCAGACGGCAAAGTGCAGTTTACCACCACACTGTTCGCCCTCATCAGGGAGAACCTCAGCATCAAGATGCGGCCAGGTGAGACCGGGCGACACCCTACGGTAGGCGGCGAGCAGCCTCAGGCAAACCATAGTTGGAAACAATGTACGTGCCAACAAAGGGAGCGGCTAGTAGTGCCGAGTGGCATTGCGTTTGAGATTTGCGTAATTGTCGGTATGTGCGTTGACTTGATCTTTGAGTTGAGGGATTTAGTTTTGTTTTCACGTGAGAGCGATTGCGCATTTACTGTCGCCCGACTGGCTGGTTAGGTTACATACTCCATCATGTTTACAAACCAGAAGCTCCACAAAACCTCCCTTTATCGATCGAAGTTCCAAGAAGCGTATACCTCCTGTCTGGCATTTAGGTGCTCAGATTACCTGTTATTTAGGGCCTAGATAGCCATTGTGCCTAAGCATGACGGGCGTCTGATACGGTGACGGCGTGTGCCTGTTGTTCTCGCAGCTGAAGAGATGGACCAGGCGGACTCCGAACTGCGGACCACCATCACCAAAATATGGCCACTGCAAGCCAAGAAAATGCTTGATCTTTTGGTGCCACCAAAGGACGGTAAGATCGCTTTGTAACTGTGTTAAACGACCACATCTGCAGAGTAAACATATACCCCCTCCCCAGACTGCAACCATACACGAACATTCTGACTGCAATGAGGGTAACTGAACGCTGATCATTCTTATTGAGAAACCAGCTGTCCCTTAGTCCCCCAGGTGATAATGCGGCTTCTATAATGGAGCTGAGAGTAATGTAGGAATGTCTCGTGAGAAAACCATGCTTGTGTTTGAGAATGGGACCAACTGTGTTTCAGTAATCCTAGGACATTTAACCGCCAACGTTTAACATTACCGAACGTCCAAGTTCTAATGTTTGTGAATGGCACTTCAATAAATACTCCGACCAACAGAGCTGGGACCAAACAAGCTCACTGTGGGCAAGATCTACGCCGGTCTCCTCATACTGGAGAACTGGAAGAGCACGCGGTTTGGCCAGATACCGGCCGAGAACCAACCGGTATGTTCCATCTTGCCTACTCGTGTCTTTTAAAACATTGCAACGTTTTTGCGGAACCAGACACCGTGAGACTGGTCATGCTCGAAATAACTATTGACATTGATTGACATTGGAGTAGGTGATTTCTACCGGCGCAGTGTGTGAGGCCGAGTAACGTCGCTGATTCCTACCAGCGCAGTGTGTGAGGCCGAGTAACGTCGCATCGACATGAGCTCATGGCGTTGTCCTGGGACTCGTGGGGGTGGGAGCCGCGCTGACCTGTTTGATTGTGACGATTGATCAGACATTTGATCAGACGCCTGCATGATTGTGGCGTGGTGTTCGGGTATAGTGCGTGCCTTAGTGTCGCAGGATGCCGGGAATGGTGCGCGGGAGCAGGACAGGTCGGGTCAGATCTGCGTCGATGTGTAGGTGATGCTAGATGTCACGCGGACGGGCGGTCCGGTGTTGTAAGACACGGGTACACCGTCTCGAGGCCAGCGCCAGGGTTTTGAACTGAAAGGTGTCTAGCGCCATTGTTTAGCCGCGGGATGTGAGTCGGCTGCCGACCGACAGGGCATGTGTAAGCCGAATAGCCGATAGCCCGGAGCTCAGTGAACGCTAGCACTAGCCGAGAATGGATATCAACGGTGTACAGGCTCGATTGCGAGGCCCAACGGCTAGTTGATAGTGTTCTGTGTCTGTTCTTTTCAGGAGAAGCAGGAGCTAGTGCCCCCAGACTCGGTAGTATACACGTCTAGTCTTTCCCACTCTTTCTTTCGTTGCTTTGGGTTTTGTTGCTTGACTAGGTCTAGGCTATAGCGTTTGACATTGGAGACTGACGCATGCGTGCCCGCCGGGTGCTAGGCCGTAGCGCAGGGTTTGCATTGCATGGCAGTCACGGGCTTGTTCCTGATGCAGAGAGCACCGAGTGTCACCTCGCGACACGCGCTTTGTCTCTGGCAGCGGGCACCGCGTGCCGTTCTGTCGCCGGTGTGGGTGTCGAGGCGTCGCGCCGCCCTGCCAACGGGGGCGCGTCCGCTCGCGCTGACCGTGCTGTCTCGCTCGGGCGCCGCAGAAAGCCAGTTTGCTAGAGCGCATCATGGGCATAGCGCGGCCGATGAACCCGCGCTCGGCAGCTGAGTCGCGCCCGGAGGCGGCCGAGGCGGCCGCGGCGCCGCCCCGCGCCACCGCCGACGACGACGACGAGCCCTGCGACAGCGACGACCGCCAGAGCGTAAGGTGAGCGCGATCGCTTGATGTAGGGATCAAACGGTCCCCGTATGATAATTTTAAAGGATGTTTTGAATTGGTGTAATTTTTGGTCCTTATCCGCTGTCACGAATTGTAGCGGAAGCATCAGCAATCTAAATGCCAGATTAATATGTGTTATGCGCGTCATTGAGTATCTCTGTGACAACAAGATCAAAACGGCCAGACTGCCAATCCGTTCTCGTTGTTGCAACGCGACAGCACGGGTGATTCAATTGGTTTAAGTCTTGTTCTACTGCTAGACATTACAAGCTTCCTGCGTTTTCAAGCTTGAGCTGAATTGACTGAATGGTTGAGTATAAGTCTCCTTTATATGCTTGCATCAGTGTTTCCACGTAAGTCATCTACTGACGGCAGGTTTTGTGGTTGAAAAGAAGCGTGCAATGGTTTGTTTGTGCACCACACCTGAGAGAATCTGACCAAATGCTTGAGTTGTTTTCTACTGCGGTATATGCCTTCGCGTTGATCGACCTGTCCAGCCAGCCTAACGCAGACTGACTGTGATTCATTCCATTGACCGACTGACAGGCTCGTCTGAGGAATACAGACACGCCGAGCAACACAGATACCTGTGTTCCAGTGCTCTGTCCGACAGAGAGACTTGTCCGAGTTGGACGGACATAGTTATTGTTCCAGTGCTCCAGCCGACTGACGACTGTTGTTCCCGCGTCCAGGCCGCGCTGCAGTGCTCCTGAACGTACCCGGAGCTGGTCAGTGTCTGATCCGTCCCCCTGCGCCCCTCTCTCGACAGTTTACTTGAGCCGAGCAGCGGCGCACCCAGTAAGAGTGTGGTGTACACGGAGGCGTCGGTGGAGCCATGGCACCGGCTGAGCGGCTCCGACTCACGGCTCTGGCGACCCGACGACGCACTGGCCGCCGGCCACCGGCGTCGCTCCACCTCTCAGCAGCTGCCGTCCCCCCGGGGCAGCGCCCAGGTAGCGGCGGCGGCCGCCCCTCCGGACGCGCCTCCTCCAGCGTGCGCGCTCTCTCGCTCTCGCTCTCTCTCTGGTCCTCCCTGTCGCTGTCCCTCGCTGTGCCCGCGCTGGCCTGTCAGGACTGGCTTTCTGTGGTCGACGCCCGACATCCGTCGCCGTTCGCTGTTCCCTGACGGCGCAGGCGGTGAGCGCGGCGCGGTCGGCTGGGCAGGCGCTGCTGGTTGCGGTGTAGGCGGCGAGCGTGGCGCGGTCGGCCAGGCAGGCGCTGCTGATGTGCGGCGCAGGCGGCGAGCGTGGCGCGGTCGGCCGGGCGGGCGCTGCTGATGTGCGGCGCAGGCGGCGAGCGTAGCGCGGTCGGCCGGGCGGGCGCTGCTGATGTGCGGCGGGCTGCCGCTTTGGGCGTGCAAAGCTCTCCAGAAGACTGAGGAACATTGGAGTTGGCTCCAGTCGTTGAGGATACGTTGCCTTAGCCAATGGGGCTCCAGTCGTTGGCTCGCGTCGGACTTGCACAGTAGACTTGAAGTTCCACGTTGTTTTAAGGTCGCAGTCCTTGGCTGTAGTTTTGGTGTAATTTGGATGTGTAGAAATCAGAATTCCTACACCAATAATTTTCAAAGTTCCATTCGTAAGGCTAGATTGTTTTCAACCAGCTCAAATTTCGTATCCACTATTTGTATATGCCTACTTCTGAACAGTTTGTATATAGCCACATAACTATCCATATATTTGTATGAATGATTCCCGAATAATGTTATGTTTGCAACCAAATGGAGGGTGACGACATAGCTCCACAGCATAGTCGGCCAGGCTTCGAAGTGTCTTTGGCCGGTTTGGCTGCAGTTGTGTTGGTGTCGTCAGTTCAGGACAATGGGCTTGTTTTAGCCGGTCAGCCCTCTTGTGGACGTCACCGACTGGATCCGTCAGGCCAGTGGATCCTGGGAAGGCAGCCCTGACTCCCGGCGGTCTTTGGAAGTGAGTCGTCTCCTTTGCCGGACTCATGGAGTGATGAAGTGCGCTCCATGTGTCCCGGTTTGTAGACTGGCGAGTTCACCGTCGTCCGTCTAGACGATTGTCACGATCAATATTCCATGCACGGCGTTACAGAGCCATACCCCCCCCCCCCCTCCCCCCTCTCTCCTCGTGTAGTCAGTTGTCAGCTGACGCCCATGTATACGCGGTGTATGTCGCCGGCACTAATTGGCAGTAACGATCAAAATTCTTGAAATATAATAGGTCGTTTGATATGCACCGCTTAAAATAGATAGGATTAGAGAGCACAGGACATATTCCGCGGTCATGTTACCTTGGCCGGGCAAGACTTACGGTGCTGCACGAGTTAAGTGACATTCCGTAGAGCAGGCATGTTTCTGACCCCGTACAGATTGGGCTTGAGTCATCACACCTGTCATCCGCATTCCATTTGGGACCAGCTGTAACGTAGTGTGTGTTGTGTAGACATGTTACTAGCTGGATAGTCTTTTAAACCATGGCACTACAGTGAAGTCGTATAGTTCCATTTAAGTGGTCTTATGGTAGGCGTACATTTATTGCATTTTAAGCAATGAAGATCAATGTATGCAATATTCATTCAAACACACTGCATTATCATGTGCATGCATATTTTAGAAACACGTTTGTGGGTGTCTGTGCGTATAAAGCCGGAAAATGCATAACATAATGGCTATGATAATATAATAACAGCGAGCTAAATAGAGCAAGAGTCGACCACCTGAGCAGGAAGTTGGATCCGTTGGTTTCTCATGCGGTGCGACACTAAATATTTGGACAAGGTTTTTGTTCTGAAGAGATGATAGTACGGCACAATATCCATGGCTGAATCACATTTAATTCAATATCCATTTATATTTTTGGCCTTGGTCTTCGCACCTGCTTGACAAGACTACAGTATTTGTGCTTGCTCGTGAGACTCCTCTCGAAGCGATACCACTTGGGAAGCATCCTCGGTCACTTCTGAGGCGCAAGAGCATCCTGACCTCCCCTTTACAATGGCTCTCCAGCAGCAGCGCTGAGGCCCTTACAATGGCTATCCGGCAGCAGCGCTGAAGCCCTTACAACGGCTCTCCGACAGCAGTGCTCAAGCCTTTACAACGGCTCTCCGACAGCAACGCTGAAGCCTTTACAATGACTCTCCGACAGCAGCGCTGAAGCCCTTACAACGGTTCTCCAACAGCAACGCTGAAGCCCTTACAGTGGCTTTCCGACAGCAGTACTGAAAGCCTTACAATGGTTCTCCGACATCAGTCCTGAAACCCTTGGAGTTTTCGTGCGCATTGCTGGACTTTCCGTGTCAAAGTGCCAGAGCAATCTTCTTCTGAGCCTCACGCTGCTCTCCCGTGGTGTCTCCATCTGTTTTTCTCTCTTCTCATCTCTGAAAGAACAAGTTCTGCTTACTGTGAGTGTTGTCTGCCGGTCTGTCAAATTTCATCTTCTCTTGCCAAGTGCGCCGTGTCCTCTGCTGTATGGAACGGTGAGTTTGCAGGTATCGAACATGAATGTGACTGAGTTTTTCACAGCTTTGTGGGAGACACTGTGTCGCATGCATTTTGTACAACATATACAGACGGCATGATTTGTTATTCTTATGATATATTGCTGCTTTTCATACTTTGCGTTGAGCTGTTTTCGACGAAGGTTTTAATGTGATTCTTGGGGTTGGCTATGAGCCGGGAGTTGTCGAACTTATGCAATGGTATACCAGGTGACCTACTCAAACTGTACTTTTACCACAGCTGTTTCTTAGGAAAGTTGCTCATGGACGTCTGCTCGAGGATAAATCAAGAAGCGGCAGACCAAGCATCATGGTCACCTGCCGCGGTTGACCACAGTCAGACCAATAATGTTCACGCCCAGTTAAGCCATGTGCCTCGCGTCCGGGGTGCACCCGAACCCTGACTTGTCGAAGCCTCGGCCGGTCGCCTTCGAACTGACCGTGACCGCGGTGTCGGGCGCAGGGCGACCTGGCAGGCTCGCGGCGCAGCTCGATCGCCTCGCTGGTGACGCAGCTGCAGGGCAACTTCCGGGCTGGCAGCTTCAGGTCGCGCTCGCCCAGTCCGCGGGCGTACCACTCGCCGACGGCCTCGCTGCGGCGCGGCCGGCGGCCGCTCTCGCCCTACAGGGAGCGCTCGCCGTCGCCGGTCGGCTTGTTCCCGCGCGCCAGACTGCCCGGTAGGTGGCGCCCCGAGCGGTCGCGGGTGGCGGCGGCGGTCGTACTCCAGGTGGCGGAATAGGACAGGCCGTGCGGTCGTTTTTTGAGCCTTGCGTCTATACCCACTGACACGTCCGTTGGTCATTTATCGGAGAGAACACCACGCTGTCGGCGGATGGCCCGCCTCCGGCCTTGTTCGTTGGGTGCTCACACGCCGTCGCGCCGCCATCAGGTCCGCGGCCGCCCATGGACCAGTGCGACTGGTCACTGCCGCGCGGCCAGCGCCGCCTGCCGAACGAGCGGGCCGTCTCCATCAGCCCGGAGCGACGGCGGCGCGGCGAGCCCGCCTACGGCACCTCCTCCTTGGACCAGCAGAGCCGCTCGCCGTCACCGCCGGCGCCGCGGCGCGCCGGCAACTCGTACCCGACGCTGCCGACGCGGCGGAGTGGAGGCCGCCGCTTGCCGCCGACGCCGACGCGGCCGTCGACACTCGACCCGGCCGAGTTCCCGCAGGTGGCGCGCGCCGCCGGCTTCCGGCTGGCGCCGGCCGGCTCCGCCTTCAACTTCCCCAAGGTCAACGCTTCGCCGACGCACGCCCCGCGCCGCATGCCGACGCCGGGCGGCAGCGCGGCGCGGCGCCCGCCGCTGCCGCCGTACCCTGCCGAGCCGCAGCCACCACTCAGCTTCGAGCAGGCCGTGGCCATGGGTCGCGGCACACGGCAGCTGCCGTCGCCGATCGTGCCCAATGGCTACAAGCCGGGCGGCGGCCGGGGCGGCGCGCGCGCGGCCGGCCGCCGCCTGCCGCAGCCGGCCACCGACTCAGACGAGGAGGACTGGTGCTGACCGCGGCTCCGCCCTGCCGCCCCGGCAGTCTTTCAGCGTGCAGTGCAGACGTCTGTTGTGTGCCCTGCCGAGCGGGCGGCGCCCGCCACTGCCCCTTTTTGTACCGCGCGCCGACCGGCCTGAGCTCCGGATGACCGCCCCTCCCCCTTGTACATACTACGTATAGTTTGTATTATACATATACATACATAGCTAACATACATATATACTCTCATTGTAGTCAACTTAAATCAAAGGGTTTCGTATCTTCTTCATATTGCACCTGTTTCCGGTAAGGTGCAATGCTCGAGCCGCCTTACTCCTTGCTTGGATGACCCCCGATGTCTGACTGTACCCGCGCGCGCCGGTAACCGGCCCTGTTCGCCTGTGACCACGCCGGCCTGGACCGCCTGCTCCCGGGAATGCCCACGCCTCTGCCGCCAAAGCGCCGTGCAACCAAACTGCCTGATTTACGTGACTGCAAAGTGGTATACGAAAGCACGGGCGCACGAAAACCAAAGCGCGTCGAGTCGTGCCGCAATCTTGATCAGACAGCGCGGGGTAAAATGACCTGCTCTTCATTTCCGGCACGTTGTACCGGCACTGGCCGGGACGGCAGGCCTGTGCGTGAGTGTGCTTGCATCTGCGTGTGCGTCAGTACATTCTAAAATGTTGTGTCTGCAACTGAATGGTCCATTACCAACGCCTGCCACGACCAGCTAGCTCGGGTAGTGCGTTTTACAGTTCAGGTGGACGCTAGTTAGTCAGTCCGTGGCATGACAGATTTCCACAATTTTTCGTTCCTACAAACAACCGATCATTGTTGACCGATGGCTGGGCGCGCGCGCTGGCGAGGAGGCCCGTCCAGGATACCTGCACGACGCGGCCGGCTCGCGAGCCGTGGGACGTTCCCACTCAGTTAACCACCGCCCGCTCCGACGAGCCGAGCCGGGACGCCGCTGAGGCGCCCGCGGGGACAGGACCCCGTGTTACGTTGTTTGATCAGAGTATTTCCCGTTGCCGTTGCACGTTGGCTTTTCCGTTCCGATACGTCTATACTGTGCGTTCAATACGAGAGATTACTGCCGCGCCGCCCGGCGGCCGGCGGGCCTCGGACGGCCTTGAGGGCCTTAAGGGCCTTGCCGGCGGGCCTCGGACGGCGTGCTGTGAAAGGTGTACCGTGTGGTTGTTGTTTTATACACACGGCTTCCAGTCCTAGAATACATTTCCAATCCGAGCCCGCGTTTAGCGAAACTCATGTGTCGGGAAGAAGGAAGTGTGCCAGGCGCGTGCAGTGAGGACTTCGCATTGGAAACATGGAGGCTCGGACCTCAGTACGAGCGACACAACTAACAACGACCACCCTGCGACGGCCTGCACGGGCTGCCGGCAAACAACGCGACGCGAGCACTGCCATGCATGACCGAACCGTGAGGTTCCCGCCGCCCGTCTCCGTCATCGGGCGGAATCGCGCTAAGTGCCGCGTGCCAGCGCTCCCGCCAGCCGGCTGGCTCTGTCGCGCCGCCGACAGCTCCCGCCAGCCACCTGGCTCTGTCGCGCCGCCGACTGCTCCCACCAGCCGCCTGGCTCTGTCGCGCCGCCGACTGCTCCCGCCAATCGCCTGACTCTGTCGCGCCGCCGACTGCTCCCACCAGCCGCCTGGCTCTGTCGCGCCGCCGACTGCTCCCGCCAGCCACCTGGCTCTGTCGCGCCGCCGACTGCTCCCGCCAGCCACCTGGCTCTGTCGCGCCGCCGACTGCTCCCGCCAGCCACCTGGCTCTGTCGCGCCGCCGACTGCTCCCGCCAGCCACCTGGCTCTGTCGCGCCGCCGACTGCTCCCGCCAGCCACCTGGCTCTGTCGCGCCGCCGACTGCTCCCGCCAGCCACCTGGCTCTGTCGCGCCGCCGACTGCTCCCGCCAGCCGCCTGGCTCTGTCGCGCCGCCGACTGCTCCCGCCAGCCACCTGGCTCTGTCGCGCCGCCGACTGCTCCCGCCAGCCACCTGGCTCTGTCGCGCCGCCGACTGCTCCCGCCAGCCACCTGGCTCTGTCGCGCCGCCGACTGCTCCCGCCAGCCACCTGGCTCTGTCGCGCCGCCGACTGCTCCCACCAGCCGGCCGGCCGCGATGGCGAGGCACGCTTCCGACGAGCACTCAGCATTGCACGCCTTCTGGGCCGTAACATCTCGGTGTTGCGAAATTCAACGCGAGTTACGCTGGGTGCAAGAGCCTCCAGCCCAGTACCGTTGAATCCGGTGTGAACAGCGCCAATGAAGCTAACTCGCAAGCTTATACTCGTGATGCGCGACATGATCCCTCCGTAACGAAACAGCTGATGGCCCCAGAATGGACATGCTTGACGATTGCACTGTTTGGTATGACTATATCATAATTGTTGCGTCGCACATACTACCGCATCATGAACCGCTGATGCTTGTAATGACTGAACGAACACAGTGCATGCAAACTATTACAGGAGAAACAACAGGAAAGTGATAGTTTGGTTCCAGCGTGAAATGCAGAACCCACTACGTCTCGAAATACATGCCTCAGTATGAAGTCACTTGCATGTAGTGCCATTAGTGTATCAAACATGTTTTCACCTTCGTATAGCATAAAATAAGACCAAAGCAATGCCGTACGTCAGCTTTTTATAATCGGCAAATACATGGCAATGCAACACACAATGCAGGGTTACCAATATGCAGAAGCACTCGCTCCCACAAAACACAAAGTGACACACATCACGGCTGCACAGCACGGGGCGCCGGAGGACTAGGCCTCGACGTCCATTCCCTCCGCGTCCTTCAGCAACCACTGGTGGACGTGCTCAGAAACTATGCCTTCTGGGTCCTCCTGATAGATGGGGTGGTCGATCACTCGCTGAAACTGGGCAATGTCGTCCAGGCTAAAAGGAGAAAATATGTTACTAAATGACACCCAGTCGGAATTTATTACTTCTTCTTCTGACTTCATTATGCTTCGAAACCCGTCTACAACACGAGCGCATACCAACACCACATCGTACGTAAACATTTCACAGAATCCATGTCGCTTGGCGCCTCGAAGAGAACGCCATCGTCTCCTTCACTGGAACAGAGCCAGCGAGCCCCAGCCCTGCCGTCGACAGCCCGCGAGCGAACGCCATCGTCTCTTTAACCGACACAGAGCTAGCGCCCCCCAGCCCTGCCCAGCAGTCAGGCGTACTCACTACTGTTTATGCAGGACTTTCTTCTTGGGCATGCCACGCCGCTTGCGGCTGGGTTGCCGGCGCTGCTCGTGGGCCGCCTTGCGGGCGGCGCGCTCCTTCTCCAGCGTGGCCGGGTTGGGCAGCGCGGCCGCCAGAGGCTGCAGGTCGCCCACCACGGCCGTGGCGCGCCGCGCCTTGGCGGCGCGCGCGCTCCGTAGCGACTCCATCACGGCGTCGAGCTCTGCGGACGGAAGAAAGGGGGCGTGACAGTGTGCCGGCCCCGTGAGTGGCTGCCCGCCGTCGGCCGCGACGGGCGGGGCGTGTGGCCGCTGGGGCCAGGCATCACGGATCTGTCGCAAGTAAGTCATCCTTTGGACGTGGATAAGTTACCAAAGCATACCAAGTGTTGTTGAAGTGTTGCCCACCAAAAGTCGCAGTACGCACAATAGTATTAGATGTTACACACACCGACAGTGAGGAAATAAATTGGGCGGAAGTTTCCAGCGCGAGAGATAAAACACTATGTTTGGTTTCTGATTCCAAGATTATTATCTGATTTCTTTGCTACCCACTTTGCATGAAGGCTTCGTGACGTACTTTCCTCTTGTCCTTCTTCTTCATCGCTGCCTGGCCCCTGATGGTGGACTTGGAACTGCGCACAGATCGGGCGTCAAAGTCCGGCAGCCGCTGCTGCAAAGCCTCCAGTGGGATCGTCAGTCCCGCAAACATTCCTTTGCCGGTTGTTGGCAACGAGGCGGCCGCTGGCGAGGTGCCGGGCGCCACCATGGCAGGTTTGTTACGCCCGCGTTCTTCGCCACTGACTGCCGGCAGGTGCAGTTCCTGTCGTGCTCGCCGGGTTTTCCCCATGCTGCGGAGTGTGCCTAGAAGTGAGTATGAGTCCATGAACTTACACTAATTTTGAAGTTTTTGACACAACCATGACCTCAGAGATGTTAAATTTATGTTTGAATCATGCATGCAACAAAAGGCCATCATCTTCTCCTCATATGCACATCATTCCTTTAGCCAGCCATGTGTGTTTTACACAGTAATATTACAGTAAAGACTGCTATAAAATGGGGTTTGTGGAAAGCTATGAAGTTATCATGGCTTGTGCACTCTGATGCAGTTGTATCACAGGGTTGCAGCAGTGAGGCAAAGCCCATATTGCACCACACATTACACCTTTTGTTCTGTGTCAGTAGCACTAATGCAATTTTTGGCAATGGAAAAGTTATTGTCTTAAAACTAAAAGCCCGAAAGTTTTGAATTATTGGCAGGAACAATTCCTGTAAGTTGGAACACTGACTGACTTTGCAAACTGGCAGCCACACTGACTAATCCATACCTTCCATTTCCTGGGCAAAACACTATAGGCATCCTAGGTACCCACAACCAGAGAGTTCAAACAATCTGATCACTGACTGCCTAGTGATCCTCCAGAGTGGTATGCCACACAGTCACTGAAGCCAACATGACAGCTAGAATGACAGCTGAAACATACTGATCACTATCAAATACCACACATCAGAATTCTACAAGAACCAGGTGCCTGAAACATGCACACGCTGCCCCATTTTTTTTTTGGTCTCCGACTCTGCATGGGCAGGGTGTTCCTGGGATAGCAGAAGGCAAGCTGAGCATATGCCATTGCAGCATCCAGACACATGACCTGAGGAGAGGCATGAAGTCCCCCATGACCCAAGAGATAAGTGCTTTCTTCAGCATCAAGAAACTGTTTCCTTCAGTAATTTATGTAATACAGCTATTTACCATGTTCTTTTCATACCAATGCACCCAAATATGCAAAAAACAGAATATTTCATGTGGTAGAATAGGACAAATAGCAATGCTGGTATCAATCTGTCAACTGAATTGATGCAGTGGTGAATGACCATGCCATACCACTTAAAGTCTGACATCAAAGCCATGGAAAACTGAGGTGATCTGTATAAGGTACCTTTACAATAAGGTAAGCGCAACCTGATACACCTGTGCAATTCTAGCCTTGGTATTGACCACAGACCACTCAAAATTACATGTTTCACAAACAAACAGCAGCTCCAGCAATAGGTGTCAACAAAGTATTGGGACCCATCAGATGCACCATCACAATGCTAGCCAATGTGCTCTACTGCATCTGCCCTTCAGAACTATTGCCAGGCAATATATGTTATCACAAGTAGCCTGATTGTGTATGGGACTTGATACCAGATGAGTTGCTCATGATGCTTTGGATGAAACAGGCAAGCACCATACAACTTGTGCAACCATACAGCAACAAGTGCTACAAGCCAGCACTGAAATGCATTCAGAGATTATCTGTTCATCATGCATAAGCCATTAGTCCCCACAATACAGGGCATTTTTGGTATCTGCCTGAGAGTGAGCAGTGATCACTAATTCGTTCTGCAAGGAGGCCAACAAGCAACCACGGTGATGCAACATGAGCAGGGTGCAGCCCATTCAGTGTAGTAAATACGAAACACCTGCAAGTCAAAATAGAGAAAAGCGAGCACTGTCCACAGCTGTCTTTTACCACATTCCCTTCGTTAATTACGGCTATTTTAACCGCCAGAACACCACAACTTCATAAGATTCCGACCTATCACCGAAATGCTTCCCGTTCACCGCAATTCGACTTCCCGACGGCCGACAATTCTGGGCATCACTCTTCTTCCTATGCACTCCGCTTATGTGATGGCTGTCCCTCCGCCACATGGAATAAATACCTTTAGATATTTCGTCTCACACCAGTCATTAAGGCCTCCAAATCTTATTTGGAAGCAGCGTGTACAGGGAATACAGTAGCATATTTTCATTGTGTGAATTGGCGCTTAGAATGAGGCTTCTTTTTCTTCGCTCCAAAGTCCGCTATGCTCATTTTCAAACGGGGTCCATTACTATCACTTGCTGTCTCTCCATAAATTTGTAGTATTCCTGTACCATTCTGCAAGTCGCACAAATTTCTGGGAATAACATTGGACTCACGTCTAGCCTTCCAAGCCCAGAGGATACCAGTAACCGTTGCTTCAAACGGCTCAACGTCCTCAGGTGCCTTGCTGGTTATACGTGGGGTGCAGACCAAACGACGCTTACCGTACTTCACATAGGTATCATCCGATCAAGACTGGCGTATAATTGCTTCTTATTCAGCACTATCTCGGGCAACCTTTGCAAACTATTGGAAGCCATTCAATCAGCTTGTCCACGTCTGATCACAGGGGCCCTCCGCACGACCCCAGTTCTCTTCATCCGTGCTGACACCAACCTGTCGGCGCTGGCGGGCCGGCGTTACTTTTTGCTGCTTCGGTGCTACCACAAATCTCAAAGTGTGTTGCGCCACGCGGTATGCGCTGCTCTTGAAACTAATAGACCGCTCCGAGGCTGTCCAACAGGCGCGACGAGGTCTTGACATCTCGTGCATGCGTGTTGTTCGTAACCCTCCATTGACGCCTGCCTGGCTTTACAGTTAGCTCTCAAAAAAGTATCTAGTTAGATCTAAGAAATCGGAATGATCTCCTATTGAGGTACAATCTGTTCTCCTGGAGTATTGAAATTCGCACGCCGAATCCGTTTTCTTTCACACTGGTGGATCTGCTCATGGTGACCAGGTTGGTGTAGCAGCCGTCGGTCCGGACTTTCGGTTCACTGTACGTCTTCCAGACTTCAGCACGGTGTTTTCTGCGGAAGTATACGCTTTAATTTAAGAGGCTTTCTGGCATTCGGAGTCACGTTCCTGTCCTTGTTCAGAAAACGGAGTCATGGACGACTCGGGCCCCTACTGACATAGCGTCTCTTGTGAGGCGTACTGCGGCCCCTTATCAACGCAGCAGGTCCTCGTCGTCTCAGAGACCCCCGACCAATGCAAAGGGTCCTCTAACTGACAATCGTTGGGCCCAGGATGGTCCTGGCTTTAGAAAGCGGCGCTAGGCCGCCACGGGGCAGACTGTTCTAAATTCGTGGTCGCGGATCGACTGGTGGGTCCTCATTGCCCCCAGAGGCCTAAATCGGCACAAAAGTCCCTCTGGTGTACATCTGCGGGTCCGGATCCCTTAACACAGTCTCTAGCTAACTCTTCAGTCCCCCTAGTCCGGCCCTTGATCGTCAATCCCGAGGAGCCCTAAGAGCCCGTCTGGACCAAAACGGGACATGTGTGCCCCGGTGCCCCCTCCCCCCGGCCTGTGCCCCGCCTTCAACTTATGTAGGTAGGTAGGTAGGCTCAGAAAGAGCCCTCTTGGTCCGGAAAGGGACATAGTGGACTCAAAATGGCTGTTATTAATCAAGGGGCCATGTATTTTAGGCTGATAAAGTAGGCAGCCCGTGTGTCGAAAAGGCACCTCTCATCCTTCAGACCATGGATGAGCTCACGTCTGGTTAAGCTCAGAATTGGCCCACGTTAGGTCTGGGACGTATACTTTTTCATGCCCAGAAAACGCACAGGTCCTGTCCGCAAAGGATCAATTTTTGCTCTTAGACCTGAGAACATTCCCTCTCAGGCCTGAAAAGACCTGGGATGGGATGATCCCATCTAAGGCCCAAAATGGGGATGCGGATGAACCTCATCTTAGGTTCAGAATGAATTATCACTCATCGGGAGAGGCCCCATGCTGGCACGCCCACCTGCAGGACACATCGGTAGCAAAGCAGTTTTTTCAGCCACCAAGATTTTAATGCTTTGGTAGCATTTGGAAGCTCTAAAATCGTCTCAAGCTTCTGCCTCAGAAACAGTGATGCAGGAAGGGAGAGGAGCACAGGATGCACGTGTCCCCCCCCCCCCCCTAGTTTCAGAGAGGCCCTTCGGGTCCCGAGGGACCTACGATTAAGGGGCAGATTTGAGGGCCCAAAGGCTCGAAAGGTCAGTCGTAAGTCGCATTTAGGGGCCCGGCCCGTAGGGCCGGGCACTCCAATGCGAGCCAAAGGTCTTGCTCGCTGATTTAGGGCCCCTGAGTTGATTAGTCCATGTGTTGGTCAGACGCCATCAGTAATGCAGAGTTTGCTCCGTGGAGACATGGGCCTGAGGGCCCATTTCTCAAGCAGGGATAAAGACGGGGCCAGCGATTTACATTGGTCAGGGCCCCCACAACGCCTAACGGGGCCCTGTGCTGGCAAAGGACCCCAAGTCGGCCAGAGGCGGTGTTCGGGGGGGGGGGGGCGAAGAGCCTGGAGGACCCACCGGGCCCGGTGATCAAGGGCTGGATTGGAGGGTCAAGAACACGAAGGCTGGTCGAAGTCGTATTCAGGGGCTCTGGTTCGCGGGGATGGACCCTTAAATGTCAGTCAGGCGGCCATTTCGAGATAGGGTGTCACCGATCAGGAACACCCTATTTCGATATGCCTCTATATGTTGGTCAGGCACCACCAGTGCCTCACAGTCTGCTCCGAATCGGTATGGGTCTGAGAGCCCACTTCCCAGTCAGCTACGAAGCTGAGGCCAGTGATTTACACTAGCCTGTGTCTCTGTATCTGCCAGGGACCCACAGCGCCTGACAGATGGTGTTGTGCTTGAAAAGGGCCCAGAGGCGGCCAAGGGCAGTTTCGATGAGGCCCGAATAGGGACCCAGGTGGCCCAATGGAACAGACTTTCAAAGGAGAGTAAAGCAACCCGAAGGAGTGGCTGTAGGTCACATAAAGGATGGCGGCCCAGGTTAGGTTGGGGTCGTAACCTGAATTATTAGTCAGAAGACCTCTTTTAGCGTTTGAAGACCTCCTGAGACAGTCCGTGTGTCTAACTCGGCCAGAAACCACGAACACTGAACAGTTAGGTACGTGACGGTCCGAACCCCGGGGCTCATGTTCCAAGCACGAGCAAGACCGGAGCCACAATTTGCATTGGTCTGGGTCCCTGAAACAGTGGTTGGGGCCACCTTATCGTTCTCCACAGGGCATAACAGGGGGCCATGTCTCGGCTAGTGGCTCCTAATCGATCACCGGCTTTGCCGGAAGAGATCTAAAGAAAGACTGGAGGGCCACTCGGAACCAAAGATCAAGGGCCCAACTGGACTCGGCCTCGTAGACCCCATCCCGTAGTGTCATGACCTGAAATGCCAGTCAGAGAGCTTCTACGAAGTCCCTCTTATCAGAGTTCTTTATCCCTGTTATATAGGGCCTCGACACGACGCCAAACAGTCGGCTGTACGTCTGTGTGGGCACTGGATAACCATTTATCAAGCAGGAACGAGGCCGTGGCCCGCGATTTGCAATATGCGGGATCCTTGACATAATGAAGCACTCTTGTGTCGGTCAGGGGCCACAGTTCCTAGCAGGGGTCGTGGGGCGGCACGTGGCCCGAACCGGTCGGGAGCGAAGGAGGCCTGAAAGGGATCGAAGGGTCTCTTGAGACCAAGGATCAAAGGTCCCATTCGAAGACTAAACTGCCCAAAGAGCTGGTTGTAGGTCACATTAAGGAGTGATCTAGGAACCTAAGTGATCTAAGAACCTAAGGAGCCCGAAGGGTCGTGATCTCGAATGCCAGATAGAAAACCTTTCGTGCCGATTGGGGACCCCCTGAGAGGGACCATTACCCCGTTTTGGCCAGAGATCACCAAAACCGAACAGTCGGTTCTGTGTCGGTCTGAGATCTGGGGGGGGGGAGGTGTAGGTATTCATCGCTACCTCATGTTCAAAAACAGCATTGTACATCATTCGTCGTGTTTGAGGCGGAACATATCATAAATAATCATAAAACAGGTAGATTCATGCTCCTTCCTTCGAATTTTAATAATTACGACAGCGAGCTCCCGAACGCCGCACACACGCGACAACCCCGACCGCCTAGCGCCACTGCTGCGTTATCGGCGCATAGTTTCGGCGTTGCTGCATATCAAGGACAATAAAAAATGTACGGGGCAAAGGTAAGAACCATGAATCAATGAAATACGTTTCTTACCGCCTGCAGGTAAGTTTGTGAAACAGCCAGGCCATAATAAACCAGAACCTAGCCTCCACTAGCCTAGTCTAACCTAACCTAACCTAACCTAACCTAACCTAACCTAACCTAACCTAACCTAACCTAACCTAACCTAACCTAACCTAACCTGACCTAATCCAACCTAACCTAACCTAACCTAACCTAATCTCCCCACCCTATCCCCTTCAGCCCAGTGTCTCATTGGTGTCTATGGTCCATGCCACATATATGAACCGTATCAAGAAATTTGTTCCGCCGCCATGTTGTCAGTCTGCTTTTCATTCCCCACCCAAAGAAGTCATATTTGCTCCCCATGTCTGTTGTGAGCACGCCCAGCCGGCCCGGCGGCACAACATGTCATCCCTGCCGTGTCGCGGCGCGGCCTCGGCCGCGCGGTGGAATGCGACCTACCGTCGCGGGCGCTGACCGCCGTCCCGTGGCGGACCGTACGGGACGCTTGGTAGGTGCGTGTATGCAAACTGACTTATGAGTGGTAGTTCGCCCGAACTAAATGTTATGTCGTGCCTGCCTGGGATGGCAGGGGCAGGACGACACTGGACTTGGTCCAATACAAATCGCCGCGTCTCTACACGTATCTCTCTGGCTGAGCTGAGCTGAACCGCTGGACGAAGACATCACAATGTCGACCAATCTACAAACAGTACGGAAGACTGCTTGGATACGCAAGAAACAAATTTCACTGGATTCTTGTCACCTTGGCTCCGTACATTGTTATGGTTCTTGATGCGCAGTAATACTGTGACCACGCGTGGCAATGGCGCCGGGGTCGCGGTTGCT